TTAAAAATGCATTTACATAATTAAATGCAAAGTGCGGAATTAAGGAAAAGTAAATTACAATTTTAGGGGTAAAATTGCGGAATTAAGGAAAAATATCACATTTTTATCATTTTTCAATGTATATAGGGGTACATACAAGGAGTACACACATATAGTTACATACAAGGGATACACACACGTCAACTTTGTCCTGACTTAGGTCTCTTCTATAAATGTCAAAATATAAAATTCTATCATTGAAAATTCTATCGAAGACTCTACCCCTGATCTGTATCCTTAAATAAAATTTGAATTATGCGCACCAAAAAAAACATTAAATAGACAAGTGCAATTTTTAAATAGTCCAACATTTGGACCTATTCAAACTGGAACAGTTACGACACCTTTACTACACAAATTATCAACTATCATCTTTATGCACATTTATGCCTTCAAGCTCAGATGCTTCCGATATATCTTATACAAGCTATCACTCTTCAAACACCTATAACAACTTAGAGGTCAAATTTTAAAATGTCAATTTTACAAAATACCCAATTAAAAATACCCAAGTTCAAATAGACACAAATTCAAATTGTTCAATTTAATAGTTTAACCCATTGTTTCGATATACCTTAGCAGTAAATGTGTAACCTTTATTTATTCACGATTAAACACAAATTTACCCTCACTATTGGTACAACATCAACGCTTACATATGCAAATGTAACACATAAAATGGAAATACTGTATAGGAAAAAAATTATAGGAAAAATTTAAGCCTTTTATAATTAGTTTGCTCGATTAATTAATTGTTTGTATACTAATAGGTAAAAATTTTAAGTTGACCAATGATAGCCTTCAAGCGAATGGGAGGTATTTTAAATCATTATTAAATAAACGAGAAGATATATGCTCCAAAAATTTAAGAAAATTTTTATTAGGTACCAGCTTTAAAAGTTTGAAAATCAGAGATGAAGAGCTAATGAACTACTTGTGGGTTATCTCATACCAGTTCTTGCAGGTAATTTATGCGGACTCATTCAAATATGCAGAATGGTCAGACTTCCTTCATCATTTTCAACCTATTTCCTGTGACATTATTAAATGAGAGGCAGATTGTTTTTTCCAATGTCACCAAATAAGTATATTTTCATACGATCAATATTTTTATTTTATCTAAATTTCCTTCCATTCAGAAAACTTTTTGTCACGATATATACCCGAATACGTGTTAACTTGTATCACAGTCTTTTAAAAACATACTAGACTTTGAGTGTCCTATGCATATGTCATAAGTTTCTTAAATTTGGATCTAAACCGTTATGGATCTAAACCGTTCGCAAACTATTTAAACTAAACCAAAGGGCTTAGATGCTTCTAGTACTGACCAAAGATACTTATTGTACTAACCAAGGACGCTTCAATTAAACCAAGGTTGTAAACCTATTTTGTAAACCTGTAAACCAAATATAAAAATTAAATTTCCTTGAACCTTTTGATTGAAACGACCTTGGTTTAATTGAAGCGTCCTTGGTTAGTACAATAAGTATCTTTGGTCAGTACTAGAAGCATCTAAGCCCTTTGGTTTAGTTTAAATAGTTTGCGAACGGTTTAGATCCATAACAGTTTAGATCCAAATTTAAGAAACTTATGACATATGCATAGGACACTCAAAGTCTAGTATGTTTTTAAAAGACTGTGATACAAGTTAACACGTATTCGGGTATATATCGTGACAAAAAGTTTTCTGAATGGAAGGAAATTTAGATAAAATAAAAATATTGATCGTATGAAAATATACTTATTTGGTGACATTGGAAAAAACAATCTGCCTCTCATTTAATAATGTCACAGGAAATAGGTTGAAAATGATGAAGGAAGTCTGACCATTCTGCATATTTGAATGAGTCCGCATAAATTACCTGCAAGAACTGGTATGAGATAACCCACAAGTAGTTCATTAGCTCTTCATCTCTGATTTTCAAACTTTTAAAGCTGGTACCTAATAAAAATTTTCTTAAATTTTTGGAGCATATATCTTCTCGTTTATTTAATAATGATTTAAAATACCTCCCATTCGCTTGAAGGCTATCATTGGTCAACTTAAAATTTTTACCTATTAGTATACAAACAATTAATTAATCGAGCAAACTAATTATAAAAGGCTTAAATTTTTCCTATAATTTTTTTCCTATACAGTATTTCCATTTTATGTGTTACATTTGCATATGTAAGCGTTGATGTTGTACCAATAGTGAGGGTAAATTTGTGTTTAATCGTGAATAAATAAAGGTTACACATTTACTGCTAAGGTATATCGAAACAATGGGTTAAACTATTAAATTGAACAATTTGAATTTGTGTCTATTTGAACTTGGGTATTTTTAATTGGGTATTTTGTAAAATTGACATTTTAAAATTTGACCTCTAAGTTGTTATAGGTGTTTGAAGAGTGATAGCTTGTATAAGATATATCGGAAGCATCTGAGCTTGAAGGCATAAATGTGCATAAAGATGATAGTTGATAATTTGTGTAGTAAAGGTGTCGTAACTGTTCCAGTTTGAATAGGTCCAAATGTTGGACTATTTAAAAATTGCACTTGTCTATTTAATGTTTTTTTTGGTGCGCATAATTCAAATTTTATTTAAGGATACAGATCAGGGGTAGAGTCTTCGATAGAATTTTCAATGATAGAATTTTATATTTTGACATTTATAGAAGAGACCTAAGTCAGGACAAAGTTGACGTGTGTGTATCCCTTGTATGTAACTATATGTGTGTACTCCTTGTATGTACCCCTATATACATTGAAAAATGATAAAAATGTGATATTTTTCCTTAATTCCGCAATTTTACCCCTAAAATTGTAATTTACTTTTCCTTAATTCCGCACTTTGCATTTAATTATGTAAATGCATTTTTAAAAATTATAACCTATTTTCCTTAATTATGCATTTTTACCCCTAAAATTGTAAACCTATTTTTGTTAATTCTGTAATTTATTTTATCTTAATTTTTCTTAATATTGTATTTTTTAAATAATAAAAAGCATATTATAAAAATTTTATCACGAATAAAATTAAATACAATAATGATTAAATAAATAGAAATAGAAAAATATATTGAATAGAAGAAAGGGAAGGAGAATGGCTTCGCCATTCGACAGACATCACCAAACTCAACCAGGGACTTGAGAATTTACTCAAGTCCGCTACCACCGATTTTCAATGTAAGGATTACCTCAAAAACATACGATAGTTGGTATAGAGTTTGGGTGCCCATACCCCTGGCTACTTTCCATCTCCAAGTTATTTTGGGAAAAATTACAAATTGGTAAATCCAAAGTCCAATACAGAAAAATCGGAAGGGCGGACTACTCCCTTTCCGACATAGGGCTTATAAATTTTCTTAAGAGGCAAGGTGGTAACAGATCCATTTTTAACAGATGGACGTAAAAAGTTGGGGTACAAAATAGTAATAGGGTCATAATCATCTTTAACAAAATTGAAAATCTTTTCTTTAAAAGCTTCGTACCGCATTCCTTGGTTGTTGATTGCATCCCAATTCAGAGTCATCCCACGCACTTTGAGCACGTAGACTGGTTCGGTTCCAGGCTTTTCCTTCTTTTCCATCTTCAGTCCATACTGTTTTGCGCCACCAGAACAAAATTCCAAAATATTGAAGTCCGGGTACTCATCTGTGAATTGACCCAGATGAGGCCCTAATTGAAGAGGGCAGTTGTCATTTGGATGAGAAAATATTAAGGAGTCAGTGTCGGTGTAGAGCAAGGTGCAATCAGGAGTTCTCACAACCTGTTGCATGGCGTGAAGCAAGTGAATTCTTGCTGCTGATGTGGTCCACAATGAGATGATGACATTTGAAGTGGCATGTTCTTCCACAAATTCCTTCTTTTTGGTGTAAGAAATAAGAAGGACATCCTCAGTCAGTCCTTCTACTGTATCAATGATAATTGAAGGATCGTTTGAATATTTGATGTAGACAGCAGGGTCGTCCGTAACCACACACTGAGATAATCCAAAATTACGAAGAGAGAAGCGACCCCATAAGTTATTTAAACATAATTTAGCCTGCGTTCTCTTCCCTTTATTAACCTTCATTTTCTCTTTTTCAATGATGATGCCAAACTTTTCTTTACACTCCTTGATGAAGTTCTCTTCATTCTGTTGGTCCCCCTTGATGTTGTTGTCAAAGCCACTAGCGTGAATTTTTTGTGCCATAAATTCACGGATGTAAGGACGAAAGAGGTTGTCGTCGTAGTTCTTAAATTCCAAGACGCGAAATACTTTGGTGACCACGTATCCTTCCTTCAAAGCCTCATTTAATTCAATTGACGTACAAGTAGAGACCCATCCACGTTGTTGGTCTGAGTGTTTGCAAGTGTAGTTTTCATTAACATCCCCATGTGGATGCTCCCTTGCACAAGTGGAGCAAAGGGGGAATAGTAGTCGTTCGTTGTCGTCGCCGATTTTCATGGGTAGCACTGGTATATCAATGCTGCGTGGGGGTATTACAAAAACTTTCAGAAGAGCCAATTCATAAGTGTTGTCTGAGGGTTGGATCCATTTGATGTCTTTGTTTAAAATGTGGACCTCAGGGTGACCAATTGGGTATCGTGTTGACATGTTGATGAAGGGGTACAGGGAGGTCACATCATAGTAGGAAATTTTTTGCCCCGCCCCCGTTTTATGGAATAGTTTTAGTGGCCCGGTTCTCCCTCCAAAGAAGGCCGATCGAATATCGATCGGTCCATTGTCCAAATAATTTTTAAACTTTGATCTCATAACTCTATCTTTCGAAAGCATCCCCCTGATGTCACACTCCCAATAAACCTCTACATTTACGCCAAAACTTTCAATAAATTCCAAACGTTTTTCATCCCTTTCCCTTTGAATCCCCGCATTAACCCCATTGGGAAGTTTTATTTCATCATAAGGGAAACATTTCCTACAACCATGCCAACAGCACCCATTAATCTCAATAACTAATTTCCTTTCTTCTACCCACCCATCAACTCTATAATCCCCAAATCTCTTTTCCCCTCCTTTAGAATAAGCATTACGTATGTTGACCTTGTGTTCTTCTGCGTACCAGCTGAGGAATCGAAGAGCAAGCAAACTTTGGGTGTCTGTGTTGTCATATCCAATCTCTGGAACAATGCCTAGGTGTTTAGCCGGTAGGTGATTTGTCCTAAAGTGCTTCATGCATGCACTGGCGATTGTCATAGCCTCTCTCAGCACATCCAATCCATTTGAAACTTCCAAGAATTCGCGCCTAAATGCAATCAGAGCAGCCATAAGAATTTCCACGTCGTTGCTACAATATGACGCCAAGGCCTCATCCAAATTGAAGGGTTCTTCCTTGTGCTGTTCATACCATTTATCAAATTGTGCTCTCTTCTCAGGCATCAATCCATCCGCCAAATAGTCGTCCTTGACCGGGAAAATTTTCTTACCATAATTTTCCGGCCTGTTTGCCATGTGTGGAAAGAAAGGTTTGTCCTCTACACTAAGTGCAAAGGCAGGGACCAGGGAAGCAAGAGGCATGGGCATTAAATTAAATGTATCCCTAAAAATAACCCAATTATCTTTACCAACTTTTACCTTCATTTCGTATAACTTATTCCCTCTTTTAATCATGTCCGGGGTCAGCCCTCTAAGAAACAATTCCTTAAAAACTAATACCATATCAAATCTACCCCCAAAGTGTGAGAAAGCAATCGTATCTGTTATTGATGACTTAATTAACCAAGAAACAAATGATGACAAAGGATCTACGGTTATATTTTGCTGGTCAACCTTTGTATGATAGAAGGGTTTGTGTGAGAAGGTGATCGTACGGTACTCGTCACATATGGAACATTCAGTGGTAGGTCCATTAGTGATACACCCGGGACAATTTACCTTTACCCCTACAAAGTTAACCTCATGTATTTTACCCTTCTCCCCTTCACGGTGCTGCATTGTTTCGAAATCAAAGGCGACGATTCGGTACGCCTTTGGGGGTTTGATGACAAGGGGTTTAATGTAACACCCACGCTTTGGGTCGTGATAACTACCGCACGTAGTGCAATAGCGTTCAGAACAAATATGACCTTCTCGCCCATTCCTATTGTTATTCTTAACACCCCAGATAACCCCACATTTTTCACATTTTTTAGAAGAATTGCAAAAATTTGAGGTGATATGATGGGTAAAACAATTCTCATTCTTAAAGTTTTTCCCACACCCATTACAATGTTTAAAGAAATTATCTAATGGTTTACAAGGGAACCCAGGACCAACCATAGAACATTTTTGACATCTTGATTTACATGAGATTGCATGGTTTGATTTCCTATTATAAACGCTTTCACATGATAAACAGTAGGGTTTACCGAATAAGTCATTAGCATTGCGGACTCCATCAAAGTGATCCTTATTATGAAACAAAATTATAGGGATATCGAAATTATCTGGCCCATATTTATAAATAGGCTTTTCCCCAAATTCCCCGAATATATAAACTTTAAACCATCCTCTGTTCACTGCATTCCATAAGTCAACCACACGTGGTACCCATTCTTCAGCACAATACACCTCTTGGTGACATTCAGCTCCAACCTCTATCATCAGATCTAATACATCATTTTCAAGAAGTTGTTTCATCCCTTTTCGGCTATGCAAATAATTATAAAATTTCCATCTTGGCCAAGAAAATATTGCATAAACAAAAGTAGCCATCAGAGCGTAAAAAAGACAGTAGCTATCATTATTCCGGATCTTGATAAGGTTTTGGTCAATGATTTTATGATGTATCGGTTTTGATCCTCTTCCACTACCATGCACGGTTCGCGAGCTAAGTCCATCTCTTTGTATAGTTGTTATCGAAACCAGAAAAGGGGCCCCCCATAACATACCATTATCCTGTTTCTTACTCTGGGAAACCTTTAGGAATTGATTCAGGATTGAATCAATAGTGTTGGGAGTGATCTCACGAATCGGGATCCAAATGTCTGAGTCAAGGTTCTGACTCGAAATTATACACCCCAGCTGGTCTGGTTCCATTTGTCGTTGATGATTTTCTAATAGAGATTGTTCGATACAATACTCAAAAATGGAGCCTAGTAAACCTTCTGGATTATTTGGAACATTTGTGACTATGAATTTGGTTGATAACTTAAGAAGATTAAATTTTTGGGTAAACTTGGTCTCATGACCAAGTTTTTTAACATAGAGGTCAAGACTCTCAGTAGGGGCGATTTTAATTTTCTTGGGAGGGGTAGGTTGCATTTTTAGAAGATAAAATAAAATGAAAAATTAAATTTGGTATAAGATATATGAAAGGAAATTAAATCAAAAATAAATGTTTTTTTCAACAATAAAAAAAAGAAATTTCAAGTTATAGCTAAAATAAATTTTCTATAAAGATTGGCAATGGGTAAATAAAGTTAAGAATGTGGTATTTGCAGGATATGATCGTGAAGAAGCTGGCGTTGAACAGTAGTGATTTTTTCAGTTAAAATTCATCTCTTTTTATACCAAATGAGACTCCACCTATTTTAAATTAGTTTCAAAATAAAACACAGTTGGATTTTTTAAAGGAATTTAGGATTCTAGGTCAGCATTTTAATCTAACCTTGAAATTTTGACCTATTTACTGTCTAATTTTATAAATATATTCAATTAAATACATGAGTGAGGGATATTTTAGTGTCGTGAAGATAACACTATAACATATAGACATTAACAATGTAGCCGAAGTGGATTGGGTTAGATTAGATGTAGGAGATCAGGGACTAGCCAGATAGTATGATCCATTTAGACTAACACTCACTGGTATTTATACTATTTTAAGTTTGCGTAATTAAATAATAAACACATCAGATAGCATTGGGTTTTGTGTTTTTCCGAATTTTACTTCGAAAAGGAATATAAAGATGTTAAAAAGATGTTAAAATTATATATTTTATTATATAAGATTATTTAAAATAAGACTTATGAAATTTATATAGTATTTTATGTTTATCTTTTAATAACCAATTTTATTTTTATATTCATTTCATTATTTTTCATAATTTCTTAAACCACATATTTACATATTTCAAGGACTTTCCTTTTTTACCCTCAAATTGAATACAAAAGAAATTTAAGTTTTTCAGAGTAAATCCTTTAGAGAATACAATACACAATAGAGAGAAAATTTCAGTTTTTTAGGTTAAATTTTATAGAAAAATTTTTAATAATACAATAGGAATTTCTAGCCTATAGAAAAATTTTATAGGTTTTTTAGGTCAATCTTTCAATAGAAAAATTGTGAATAGAAAAATCTTTGATATGTAACACAATGAAAATTTTGAGCCTATTGAGAATTTTGATTGCTTTTAGGTCAATCTTTGAATATGAAAATCGTCGAATAAAAATTTTAATCCTATAAAAATTTTGCTTGGTTTTAGGCTAATTTTTGAATAGAAAAATCTTTGAATGAAAATTCAAAATTTAGGTTAAATTTGAATAAGAGAAATACAAAAGAAAAATTTTAAAGTTCCTTTTTTCAATCTCACACTGAAAAGAATTTTTAATGATAGAAATTTTTAGGTTAATTCTTTTCACATAATAAAAAGAAAAGATTGAAACTAAAAGGATTAAAAATCAGTACAAAACTAAAAGTAGTTTTGAGAAATTAAATTTACATAATTGGATTAGTGTGAGGCGAAATAAACTTTTTTGTCTAACAAAAGAAAAAGGGACCATTGAAAAGTAAGGAAAATAAAGGGATCTAATTTAAGGAAAATTATTTATCAGTTTTTCCTCCTTCTCCGAGCTGGCTACGCTGTTGTCTTAAATTTAGCGGCTACGCATACGTTGGTTTAACTACTGGCATCTAAACGGGGAATTCAAATAAATCGAGTTTGAAACTACAAATCCAATAAGAGAAATTTATCTAGCAAACAAAATAATATTTTTATTTATTACATACAAAAAAACACAATTATCACGATTATTGAGAAAAATACAAAGGCAAACAAATATCACTATACAATATAATCAACAACAAAATAAAAGTGGCATTTATCATTCTGTTCTTTTATTCAGCTGGACCAGTCAAACGCCGGGTGAAGGCTGCAGCGTCTCCTCTTTGCCACTCGCCGGACCATCTCTCGCAGCCAATCGTAGTCGAGTTTGTCGACGTAATGCCGTTTTGTTAAGTACGACATGATGTGACGAAATTCGCTGAACTTGAAAAAGGGAAAAAGAAAATTAGTATTAAGCATTTCTTATAGCACCTCCTGCCCTGGGAAGAGTGTTGACGGATTTGCGAAAACACCTTCTTTCATTTCCCGCACGTTGTTTAGGTTCTCCTCCTCGTACCATGGCAGCTTTTTCTTATTGATCATGTCGGCGAGCATGTAAAGCCAACTCTCACAGTCATCCTTGCGGCCAGACTCCTCGCTTCTATGCATGGCCAGTGGAGCGAACCGAATTGTTCCTTTGAATCTGACCTGGAAAATCATAAAAAGATTATTCAAAAAAGGATTTAACAATCAAAGAATATTGCGAACTGGCCTTGGACCGGGGGATGGCAACCGTCCCATCAGCGCCCACTATCTTCCTGGCGATTCCAAAATCCACCACGTATACCACATTCTGAGAACCAGTTTTGGCCAGCCCCAAAACAAAGTTGGCAGGTTTGATGTCTCGATGAACAAATCCGAGCGCGTGCATGTCCTTGATTGCTTCCAGAGTTTCGAGGGCGCAGTACAGTCCTGTGTTCATACTAAACAGGGAAAGTTTATTAATGACAAACTAACCTATTCTACCTGAAGATTTTGTTTGACTGTCGATACTTGATGTCGGCAAGTGATTCGCCCAGAAGCGACATCACTATGAACATGAACGACCGCACCTCAACGCTCCTGTCGTACAAAATTGGGAAGTGCTTCTGCTGCTCCTTTGACACTCCTTTGGCTGCTTCCAGTACTCGGATCTCCATGACAAGCTTAAAATGGTTGCGTCTCGGATTTCGTCGCTCCTCCTTCATTGCGAACAGGCCCCCTTTCCTCCAGTCCGCCTTGACCTTATACACAGCTCCATATCCGCCGTACGAAATGCTCTCCACGACCGTGTACGAGCGTCCACTTTGACTGAAATTAAGAAAAAATAGTGGGACAAATACTATATTAAGCTTATAAAGAAAAATTTACCAGTTAATCTGCTCGCCTGGATCTCTGCCCGCGAAGGAGTACTGCGACACAAGAGACGAGGCCATGTCGAGTTGAACGGTGGTGCAAAAGCGGCGTTGATGTAGTGAGTTGTCGGCGAACGGTGGTGCAAAAGCTGCGTTGATGCAGTGAGTTGTCGATGAACGGTGGTGCAAAAATGGCGTTGATTTGAAGGTAAATTCATTTTGCTTGGCTTTTATAATAAAATAGTTCCCGTCTCAACAGTCATACCATCTATAAATACCATACATATACACCATATATACCATCTATATATACCATACCACTAAATTCAAAATACACTAAAAGAGAGATTTGTAGACAAAAAAATAACGAGATACATATTTTTTGGCTTTTCATTTTATATGAGATTAGGGCAACCCCTTAAAAATTGACACTAATTTATTTGGAAATTAATGTTTCTAGACGAATAATATAAAAATAGTACTTTCTTAGTAATTTAATTAAAAGTCATAATTATTTTAAAAAATATTTTATATTTATTTTTAGTTTTCTTTTTTTAAACAAACTTTTGACCAAATAGAAGATTTTAGAGAATTTTGTGGAAATACTTGCATCTACGTTATAATAACAAATATTTAATAATTCACTGAAATATATCAATTTTTAACTTTTCCTTAATTGGACAATAAATAATTTGATTAATTTTTTTCTAAATTTTTGATATTAATTACCGTAAATGCAGAAATAATATCCCTCTCCCAAATAATTACCTTCGCCCTATTAATTACCCCCTACAGCCAGAAATCGAAAAAATAATTACCCATCTTAAAAATAGTTATAATTAGCCATTTAAAAAAGCTCAAATAATTACCTCCTCCCTTTCAATTACCCTTCCAGCGAGAGGTTGATACAATAATTACCCTGGGTAATTATTTTAGCAAATATGTACGGTATTCTACATATCTCTCTAAAATTATTTAAAATATTAAATTTAAAAATTGAGACTCAGAATTTAAAAACATAATTAATAATTAGTTTTCATATTTAACTAAATTAAAAAATATTTTTAGTCAAAATGTTTCAAATTTACATAAAAAAATAAACAAAAATAAATTCTACTTTTTATTTCTATTTTCGATTGTCCTTCTTTCTTTTAACTAAAATTTTTTAAATAAAAAAAGAACACATTAAAATGGTCTAACGCTCTGTTTCATCTTTATATAAATTTCCGGTAATTCTTCTTAAATTTGTCATTTTATTTAAATTGGCCCTCTATTTTGAGTATTTTTCTAAATTTGGCACTCATTTTTTTTGGAATTTTTTTTATTATAAGGAAGTTATAAAAATAATTGGCCTTTTTTTATTTTAAATAATTTTAGACAGATTTTTGTGGATTCTTTTTTAGCAATTTTATTTTGTTATTTGTTAATACAGTCAGTTCTAACTATATTATAATACACGCTTTTGCCAAAAAATTGTATATTATATTGAGGGATTACTATCAAAGTTGGGTTAGGCATAAGGATGGCGGTTCCTGAAAAATCTCCGGATATCCAGAACTGGAACCGATATCCGAAACGAAAATTTCTGGATATCCGGGGGTTTTTCGGTTCCGGATACCCGGAACCGCCAACCATATTAAGCATCTCCTCTCAGTAGCCAACAAAATTTTAAAAATATATAGTACTAAAGTTTAAAAGTAAAGTCGTCGACTGTACGTATATTTAATGATTTATGTTTTAATGTATTAATATGAGAGATAAAACACAACTCTAATCTTCAACTTAAAATAATCAAACTTACTAAAAAATAATTGTTAATCTTAACATTCTTTGTACTCCCATAATTTCCTTCAGTTTCTCTCTCATTTTACAGTACCCATCCATCTTTTATTGTTGTAAATTACCTAATCATTTAATTTAAAATTTCCCATTTCTCATTAAAAATTCACAATTTAAATCCTCAACTTTATTTTTTGTAATCAACTAATTTTCTGATTTGCTAAATTGCAATTTATTTATTTAAAATATTCTCTCAATTAAATCCCTTAAGGGAATTTTTGGTTTTTATTAAGAAAAAAAAGGAATTGGCATTTCGTCAAAAAATATATACTATTTATTTAGATGTACAGCTGGGCCTTTTTTAAAAGAAAATTAAGTAAAAAATAAGGAAAAGACAAAAATTTGTTTGAAGATTATTTTTATTTATTTATTTACATCATTTTTTCTTTTTTAAATTAATTTCTTAGGTAATTTAAACACAAATTTTGAGACATTTAAATAAATAAATAAAAATATTTTTATCACTCCTTTTCCCCCATTTCCATATCTTTACGTAAAAAAATTTTTTTCACAATGAAAAGCTCTAGATTTCTTTTTTTTAATTAGAGAGACTGAAAATTGAGGAGACATTTTTTTGTTTATTTTTTGTCTTAATTTAGTAAATATTTTAACATTAGTAGAGTGCATAATTTAAGATTTGAAATTCCCCCTAGCTATTTAAAATCCAAATTTTTGCCTAATTTCTGAATTTTATTCTAATTTTTCCAAATTTTTGTCTAATTTTTGAAATACCTCCTTTTTTCTTTAACTTTCTAAATTTAAATTAATTTTATTTCTCTTAAATATTTAAAATGTCAATATACTTTTTAACATCTAGAAAAATGAAAAAAATATTTGTTATATCATTTTCAATATTAAAAAAGTCTTAAAAATCTAATACATTAAAGTATGTTTTGTGACGCTTATAAATAAAGTAGATTATTAATTTACATAAATAAATATATACTTTTATTTTTTTTTATTTATTTCTACCCCTCCTACATATTTTAAATATCCCCTACTAAATTTTCGTTTGACGTTATTAATTTTTGATTATTTATTAATTTATTAGAAGCTTTTTTTGAAGTTTTTATTTGTCAACAACTACCTCCTATTTTATTCCCTCATAGAAATTTCCGTCGGGTAACATTTGGGGAATTGGTCAAGACATTTTTTATTAGGAAAAAGGAAATTTAATATTTGATTAAATTTAACTTTAAATTAATATATAATAGAATTGATCTATGTATAGTAATAAAATTAATTACATATGTACATATATCGGATTCTTTTTAGGGAGATTCCATTATTATAGTATATAAATTAAATAACAAAAAATTATCTTCTCCAAAATTTCCATAACTAGAAAATGTCTCATTCTTAAATTCTAAATTAATATTTTTAAGAGAATTATACTAAAAAATCTAAAAATATTTTTGGCGAGCAAAATGCAGTGATAATTCTGCAATTCTTCTCTGATATTTTTGTATGAAGAGGTTGTTTAAGGACATTGTATTCCTAAAATCATTTATTCAAAATATCAGCTTTTCAAATTAATTGCACAAAATGTCCTTAAACGACCTAAATAATCTTTTAAAATCTTCCAAAAAATTTTTTTATTTAAAATAATTTATTTTAATGTATTTGGCATTTATCAATTTCTTTTTTCATTAAATAAATTTCAAAAAAAAAGTAAAATTCTTTTCAATTTTCTCAAGTTTTTTTACATTTTTGTCCTTATAATCTACAATTTTTAATCCTTATTAGAAATGCCTGTAGAATTTTTATAAAAATTATTTATTTCAGAAATCATTTTATCTTCTAAATTTAAGTAAAATTTAAATAGATAATTTTAATAATTTTCAAAAAAACATATTCCAAGTTCGATTCCTTCCCAGGCCTGTACAATATGAAAAGGGTTAAATTCTGTTTACTTTTGTTTTTTAATCAAAAAATTTGCTTAGATTTATTAATTAAAAAAATTTTCAATTTTTATTTATACCTTTCTCTAAAGTTATTGATAAAATTGTCAAATAAAAGTGGAAATCTTTTAGGCAAAAAAAAACAATGGCGTTTAAAATATTATTCTTTTTTTTTTTTAAATTTTTCCATGCATTTTAAAACTTTTTTTTAAATTTCAAAACATTATTTTCCAAAAATTAAATACATATTTTTATTTATTTTTACATCTACTTTTTTTGAAATTTAATTTTAAAGTTTATATATAAAAATTACAAAAACAAAAAGTAAATTAAACAAAAAAACAACAAAAACTTTTATTTATTTAAGTACTGGAATTGATGTTTTTATGTATTTATTTAAAAGTCCTTACTTTCCAACAAATATATTTATCTTATTTTTTTGTCATATTTTTTTAAAGCAATGGGCCGTCAAATTTGATTTTCTTATTTTTTTTGTTAACTAATCTCTCTCTCTTTCTCTCCTTTTAATTTATTTTTGCAGTCATTACGGCGCAGAATATTTAAGATTTGTAGTTAAAAATGAAATTAATGACCGGCAAAAATAATTAAAAATCCCCCACTTTCCTTTTAAAAATAAACATTTTTGGTAATATTTAAATCAAAATTTAAGAAAATTTAATAGAAAAGTTAATGATTTTATTAGGACTATCGGCGCCGTAATACCCCCCCCCCTTTACCTTCCTTCTCTCTCAATTTTCTCCTTTTTTTCTTCTCAATTTATTTTTCAACGTTTTTGAGGAGTATTACAAAAATAGCAAAAAAAAGAAAAGCCGAGAACATATCCACCAGGGTCCAATTTCCACTTTTTTTTCTTTGCAAATATTTAAACCACACAAGTTGAGTTTTTTAAAATTGTTTTAAAAATAAAAATAAAAAATATTTAAAAATAAAATAAATTAATAATATGTATTTCTTTTAGTTTTTATTTCATTGTTAAGTATTTTTATAATTAATATTTATTTTTTGTTTTTTAAAAAATAATCCTCTAATTTAGGTATTTGTTTAAAAATAAATTATTATAAGGACTATAAAAATATGTACTTATATTAAATATAAAAATTAATAATTATTTTAAGTAATTATCATTTTATTTTCGTAATAACACAAAAGAGACAGGAATGAATGATTATAAAAATCCTAAATTTATTTATACATTAGATCTGCCTAGTACTTGTCTGATTTTTTTGTCAAAAAAATTTTTTTGTAGTTTTGATTTTAAATTAGCTGTATAAGCTTTAAACTGTTATCTAATCTGTTGAGATCATTTTAATTGAAAATGTTTCTCTACCAATACTTAATCAATTCAATTTTTTTTATTTCAGAAGAAAATATCTTTTTTTTTAAAACTATATTTAAATTTAAAAAGAAAATAAAGGCTAATATAAATTTATCAAATAAAATAGCCAAATACATATTTTTTCCTTTTTTTCTGTGTGGGCGAATTTGTAAAATATTTTCTATGTACAATATAAAAATATTTTTTCCTTTATTTTTTACTTGGACTTAAATAAAAGTCATAAACAACTATTTATTCTATATCAAAACAAAAAATAAAAAACAAAAAATTTTCAAATCCCCAAAGGAATGATCATTCTCGTTTTTCTTTGTTTTTTTAAACAATTTTGAAAAACAAATTTAAATGACCTTTCTTTTTTATTAAAATGTTCAAAAGCTCCTTTAAAAGGAAGTGTAAATAAATAAATAAAAAATGTTTATTAAACTTTGAATATTTTTTTGTTTTAAAAACTTTATTTTCCTCAGTCATTTATTCTGAGGATTTCAATTTATTTTTCAACGTTCTCATTTACTAAAATTTAAATATCATCATTTTAAACTAGGTAGCTCCACTAGCCTTCGAGTACGGGGGACCCGAAGGCCGGAACGTGGGACGGGGAGCTACTCTATTTTAAACTTTATATCTTCCAAAAATTGACATCAGTCTAACCCCTTTCTGATATAAAATATTTCTACCCTCTACTACCCCCCCCCCCCATATCCATTCCTCTACTCCTTCCCTAATTTAACATTCTTTTTTCCTCTAAATTTCTAATTAAAAGTTTAAAAATCAGACAAAAACCATTAAAACCAATTTATTTTACTTAAATAAACTTTAAATTAATCACAAAAAATTTTTTGAAATTACTAAGAGAAATTAACTACTTTTTAACTAATAAAATTAAAATAAAATCCAAACAGACAAATAAATTAATTCCTTTTTTTTTGAAAATTAAAAAATCTTAGAAAAACTTTTTTTTCTAATTTTCAACACCTGTTCTCTTAAATCTTTTAAGTTTTGTCAAAAGATTGATGGGCAGAAAACAATAAAGACAATAATAAAATCTATTATTGTTTATTTATTAGAGATAATGAGAGAGAGAAGTTGGAAAAAGAGATTATAAAAACAATTACCTAAATAAAAATTATTTTTAATTAAAATTTGAAAATAAATAGGATTCGAATCTATAATCAGTAAATTAACTAATTGGAAAAAATTTTCAGCTAGGCAAGCCACTCAATTGTCGGTATCTACATCATCTATTCTTTACTTTGATTTATTATTATTTTATTAATCTTTTCTCTCCTTGGAGTACTGTCTTCTACAATTGATTAAATCTGTAAATCTGACATTTTCTGTTTTCCATTTAGAGTTTTGGAGGACCCGTTTGGGTTTAAACTTCCTTTAAAAATCCCTCATTATCATCATCATCTTTTTTTTCTAATCCTTCTTAATTATCTATTTTTATTTAAAAAGATATTTAACAACAACTGTCCTTCATTAACTCTTTTTTCTCGTTTGATCATTTTCTTTTTCTTTTTTAAAATCAACAAAAAATATAAAAGAAAAAAAGCGTTAAAAACTAAAAAAAATATAATTACTAAATTAGTGAGGATTATTTGGCCAATTAAATTTTAAAGGATAAAGAAGACCAATTTTATTTTAAAAAATATAGTAGACCAATCGATTTGTGATTTATTCTTTTATTTTCTAAAAAATATTTCAAAAAATTTTTTTAATTTTTAATTTAATAAATTAATTTATAATTGAAAAATATTTTTGAATTAAATTAATTTAAAGAATATTTATTTAAAAATATTAATTTAAGGTGTGTAACCTTAAAAAACAAAAATAAATTTTTTATTGAAAAAAAAACAAAAATTATTACATATTAAATTAAAAAAAATTTTTTTTGGATGTATATACACAATTATTATAATTTGTTTAAGATTTTTTTTTTCTAAATTTTTAAAATGTTTATAGCGATTTAATTCTCATAACATGCCAAAAAAACCGAAAATTGGTTATAAGAAATCAACCATCCTTTGAGCGATGGTACAAAAATTTTTCGGATTTGAATTCTCACCTATGTTTATATTCACCCTGTTAATCTATTTGATATAGTAGTATGTTTATGCACAATTAGTTATGGCATATTAATAATCTTATTCAGAAAGCATTTGTATTTAAATTTAATTTATTAAATTAAAAAAAAATTTTTGTATTTAAATTTTTATTTTAATACGATCATTTTCTAAGAAATATAATTTTGGATTAAAAAAATTTTTTCATTTAATATTTTTTATTTCCGTGTTTTAATTTCATTTTAATATTTTTGTAGTTTTAATATTTTCTTTTTTAATTTCCCATAACAAAAAATAATATATTAATTAATTAATATACTTATTTAAAAAAACATATGTTTTTTTAAAATTTTATCCTCATTTTCTTTTAATGACGTTTAATCTAAAAATATTATTTTCATTCTCTCAATTACCTCCTTCCTCCCCCTCTTTTTTCTATCTTTAGTTAATTTTAGCTAAATTAGTTATTTAAAAACTTGAGAAATAATTAAATTAAATATATTTGCTTTTCACATATAACCACAAAAAGGTTTATTTTTTTTGTTGTTTTTACAGTTAACTTTTGTTTTAATAAATGAACATTTCTCTTTAAATATAAGTGAATGGCCAGATAATAAGTATATCCGGAATGGCCCCAAGGTTATTAAATATATTTAGAGTGGATTTTTATGTTTTAAATCTTAAGTCATCTCTTAAGTGATCATCCTTATCCCCCCTTAAAGTGTGGAATGTTTACAAATGAATTTAGAAGGAATATGGAAATAATTCTTTACTTAGGTCTTAAAAACAACTATACATATTTATTTAATTCCCAACTATTTTTTTGACAATTTCAATTATGTATCTTGTATTTTTAAAGCTTAATTTAGAATTTTATTTTTAAAAATCTTTACATAACTCATCAAAAATATATTTTTAATTTTAATTTTAAACAAAAAAATCTTTCTTTTTTTCAACAAAAAGCCACAAGTTTTCCTAAATAAATGTTCGTTTTTGACAATCCTTCTTTTGTTCTTTTTTTATTTAAAATTACTTATCAATCATTTTAAAAAAAATAATTATTATTAAATTCATTTCTGTGGTTAACAACGTTGATTGGATAGAATTTTTTGAAGATGAATTTTTTAAATGTTACTTTTTCTTGAACAAAAAAAGTACAAACAAATATAAATATTTATTTATTTTAAACTTTTTATTTTTCCTTAAAAAGAAAAAAAACTTTCATTTATTTATTAAACTTTTTTTAATTTAATTTTTATGAAAGTTTGTTTTTAAGTTTGGGAATTCTTCAAAGAGAATAATTAAATTAATATTTAATTCTAGTTTTTTTTTTTATTTTTCATATTTTTTATTTTTATTTATTTTAGTGTTTTTAAATTATTCGAGATGTTTAAGTGTAAATAAACTTTTTTTAAATTTATCCCTTCTAAGCTTATTTAATTTTTTATTTAATCCTTTAATATTTATAAATTTAAAGCATTATTGCCATTTAAACTTAACTACGTTTAGATTAATGTATAGATAATTTAAATCTCTTCAATTTTTTTAAAAAATTTAATTTATTCACATAAATAAAAACTAATATTTTCTCGTGTTTCTTACTTTAATCCAAAAAATTATTTTATTTGCCAAATATTTTTTATTTTTTCTTAATTTTACTATAATTTAGTCTTTTAAATTAACCAAAAATTATTTAATTTTAGAAGAATTTTATTTTAAATATTTTTTTTCAGTTCATCATTTTCTAAGCTTTTAACTTCTTCTCCTCAATTATATTTTAAACACCCACATTTTTTTATTTAATTTAAATTACTCAGTAGGGATTTTTAGAAAAAAAGCTATAAAAATAAACTTCCAAAAATCTTTTTCTAAAAAAATAAAATAACCTCCCTCTCTCTATAAATCCATTTTTAGATTTAATTTAGTTAAAAATAGACAAAGTATTTTATTTAATAAAAAAGTTTTTGAAATTGATACTTTTCTTTTTTAAATTAAAAACATAAAAATGGATATATAAAATAAAAACTTTTAGATATTTGGGTATTAAATAAATAAAAACTTTTTTAGAAATTTTTTAAGTTAAATTTCCAAAATATTTTAAAAATTCTTCAAAACTACAATTCATCGAAGGGTGAATTTTTATGAGCTTTTAGATTTTTTTCTTAATTTTTGGACCTTTAATTTTGAAATCTCGTTATTGGACAAACTTTGATTATCACTGAAATAGGAATAATCAAAAACTTGCTAACTTTTAAAGAATTAAATTCCAAAAGAAAAAAAAACAAGAACCTATTAATTTTCGTTTTGTTTCCATTTATTTATTTTTAGTTAATAATTTTAAATTATTTTTATTTAAATTTCTTTTAGAAATTAATTAAAATTAAATTTAACTTTAAAAATGCATTCACCGCCTTACAATTTAACTAACAACATATTTTCCTCTTTATTTAATGAAGAACAAATACCTTCCTCTTCAATTGTTGTTAATGATATAGTTAATGTTGATAATTGGGAATCTAAACAATTTAACAATAATAATACAACAACAATAATTAATCCTTCCCCTGTTTGTATTGAACGTTACGATTATTATGAATCTACAGAGTGAGAAAATAAACAAATTATATACTTACATATTTAATTTTAATTAAAATATGTAACTGTTAAAATTAAATTGAAAACAAAAATATCTTAACCGGCAAGGAGGGAGCAGAATATAAGTGGGAATATAAGTGGAAATAAGCAGAATATAATTGGGAATCCATTATCCAAGTTTAGCGTCTATTGAATTTTTATGGAGGGATTTTGCATGTCTGTGTGTCATTTGAGGACAGCCTTCTAAAATTTTATTGCTTACCTAAATTCCTTCTACTTTCCACAAATTTTAACAATAAATTCATCCCAAAAATTTTCAAATTTTAATTAAGATAACATTAATTAAAATATCAATAAACAAAATTTCATACCTCTAAGTTCCTTTTAATTTCAAAAATTATTTTATAATTTATATTTTAATTTAATTTAAATAGAAAATGGCTTCTGGGTGTTTTTGCTCTCCCATTTATTCTTTGTGGATTACTTGCTAATGGAATGTCTATATTAATTTTTTCTAATAGACATATGCGAAAACAGTCTGTTAATTGGTATTTACTTGTTCTTGGTATATTCTAAATTAATTAAAAAATTAATTTTTTAACTTTATTTAAAGGGACAAGCGATTTTGTTATTTTATTGGGTGCTTTTTCTGTTCTAACATTACCTCGATTAAGTGAAATACTTGTTTGGTGGACAGGCACAGCAATAAGGCTAGTAATATAAAATGGATTAATTTTGTTACTATCCTACATATGTAATAGACTTCCCTATTTACCACATTATAGGCCATACCCTTGAAACTCAAAAAATTATAAACTATAATGAGATATACTATAATTTCCATCTTATTTTTGACTAATTTTCCAATGCTTCATCCCAGGACCGAAAAAATCCAAGAGGTCCTGGGTTAAGCTTCAACACTAACTCTTTAACGTCTTTGGACACATTGACTGTCTTGATTCGTTCATAGAAAATCATCTGTCCTAGTCCCAATGTCCAAACCAATAGAATTTCTGAAATGCCCAATTTATTACCTAATTTATTTTGTTCCTTTTTCAGTTATTATGTTACCCCCGTTTTCTATGCACTTATGACAATGGCACAAACTATAAGGTAAATTAAATATATTTTTATTTAAATTTTAAAAATTAATTTTTAAAGTGTTTGGATGACAGTAGCAATGTCTTTACACAGATTTATTGGAGTATGTTTTCCCTATCAATCCGGACGTGTTTTAACTGCCAGAAATGTAAAAGGAATTATTGGAGGAGTTATTTTAACGGCTGTTTTATTTAATATATTCCGATTTTTTGAAGTAAAAAAATTTTTTTAATTAAAATTTTAAATCAAAAAATATTTTTTCAGGTAACTTTTGAAGTTTGTTGGATGGAACCAATAGGTGTTGAATTGCCCGTTCTTAGAATGACTGCATTAAGACAAAATGAATTATATCGAAAATTATTTTATGAATGGGCATATACTTTGGTAAATTTAAAATAAAATTTTATTTTTTAATAAAAATTTTTAAAAAGATTATGTTTGTTGTTCCTTTTACTGTTTTAATTGCTGTTAATTCAATGGTTATTGGAGCTATACACAAGTGAGTAGAAAATAAATATTAAAATTTTATTTTTAATTTTTTGGAGGACGGGAAAAATTGTTAGATTATCCTGCTCAATCTATTTTTGCAATTTAATTTTATGAATAATTAAAGTGTATCTATCACTTTTTTAATTGCATTTTCTCTCTCTTTCTCTAAAGTTTAATTATTTTTTAGGAATAAACTTTAAATTTTTATGTAATTTTCACTCCTTAAAAATATTAAAGACAAAAAAATTTTATAAAATTTAAATTTTAATTATTTTTTTTCCAGATCTCGAAAAATCCATGCCAAATTAAATGTACGCGAAGGAAATGGTGCTAGAAAACAAGAATTAGCCAAAGAAATAAGTACCTCTATAATGGTAATTAAATAATGATTTTTAAAATAATATTTAATTTTCTTTTCTTCAGCTTGTTGCCATTGTTATAGCATTTCTTCTTTGCAATACTTTGGTAAAAAAAATAATTTTTTTTGGAAAAAAATTTTAATTTTATTTTTCTAGGCATTTGCAGTCAATTTATTAGAAAAATTAGATTTTCAAGGATTATTGTATATTCGATTAGTTCCTTGGTCTAATTGGCTTGTTTTGTGTAATGCAAGCATTAATATTTGTATTTATTGTATATTTTCTGAGAGATACAGAGCCTTATTATTTTATTATTTACGATGTTTTAAAAGAAAAGGAGGAGGAGGAGATATTAATAATCAAAATAATATTGGATTTAATGGAACTTCAATGAGCTTTTTATAAATTAAAAAGAAAAAAAACAAAAAATATTTTGCTCAGAAATTTTTAAATTTTACTTGAAAATTTGTATTAAAATTAGGTTTTATCTCATATTATTTTTTGCATAATTATTATGTAATGTGATAAATTAAACAAACATACCTAATTATATTTTTTTAAATAAAAGTTTTTTATTTAATTTTTTGAAAATTTAATTGGAAATATATTAGTAAGGATTGGATTTTTAGGCTGTAAAAACCTAATAGCCTAAAATAAGTCCTGGGCAGACCCGCTCATTAAGATGCCTGAGGGTATCCCCTGTATATACCTGAATAACGGATACCAAAGTCCGTGTCCACAAGCTAGTCTGCTGAAAACTACATTTGATCTAGAAAGTTGAAATGACAACTGATTTTAGTGATGTTCATAAGCGATATCCTAGCCAACGGGGTCAGTGCAATAATTTTTTTAATTTGTAAAAATTTCTAAAAAGGAAAATATAAATTACACTGATGCCTCAGTAATTCAACTCTTTATATTATTTCTTAACGTTTAATCTTTTGAATAAAAATTTTTCGCTCGTTAAAAACATTCGAGAATTAAAAGGGTTATTTCCTTCAATTTTACCTTTCTAATCCTGACAAAAAAATTTGGCGAATTGTCCGTTGACGAATTGTTCCCTGGCAGAATGTCCGTTGGCGAACAGTCAGCTTGTCTTAAAATAGTTTTGGTTTTTTGTAATTTTTTGTTTTATTTTTTCGTTAGGCGTTAAACTTTTTGTTCAAATACTTCAGATTTTTTTTTGATAATTTTAAGGTGTTTATTAAATTTAATTGCAACTTTTAATAAGAAAATGAGTCAAGATCAAAGTGAGGGTGAGGAGATTGTCAAAACGATTCAAAGCTTGGGTAATTTTTGTTCGAATATGATTTTTTTCTGAATATATTTTTAGTTGAAAATGAGGAGGTTTTGCGTGCCAAAATTTCATTTGCAACTATTGTTGAACAGAGTAAGAAGATTGTTTTCTGCACTTAACTAATCCGACTTTTTTAAGAAATGAGCGAGAAATTGGAACAGCTTCGTGTTTCAAGAAAAGAGGAGAAGGACAAAATGGAAGCTCAAAAGAAACAGATTGATGTTTTGGAGAAAGCTCGTTATTATGCTGTGTGTCATGAACATAAGTATGATTTTTGAATTAGATTTAAGCTTCAAAACCTCTTTTTTAGTGTTGAAACAGAACTGAAACGAAAGCGGACTGTTATGGGCGAATTTAAAAAGCTTGTTGAGAGTACTAGTGCGGTTAGTATTTGAGGTTAATCTTGTTTGATTTATAATTTCAGGCTGATCTGTCCTCGGAAGTTTGTGAATTGGATTTGATCAAGGAAGATTTTCATAGTCAAAGGGCTCGCGCTCCATGGCTTCCTGAAAAACAGGCAATTTTGGGAGAATTAAAACAACACGAAGGTGAACTTGCTCGTCTTCAAAATGAAATTTCTCGTACTGATGGACTTATTTCTGAACGTGAGGATTTATTGGCAAAACACAAGCAGCTTCCATTCAAAAATTTTTGTGTTACTTTGGCGAATTATTTGCATAAGACGAGGCAAATGGATAATGCAATGAAGAATGAGCTGAAAATTCAGGAAACGGTATGATTTTATAAAAATTGAAGGAATATTTTTTATTTGCAGCTTTTGGAAAAGACAAAAAGATTGGAGCATGAGGCGATTCAAAAGTCTCCGGGGATTAATCAAGACGAGGAAATTGATGTTGTTAATGTTCAGGAAGTTGTTGAGAAGGCTCCCGAATCTAATGTTGAACGTGTTGTCAATCATTCGCCTGCAATTGCTGTTAATCAATCTCCTGCAACGTCGAATTTGTCGAAAATTACTCAACGATCGAAATTTACTCCGGATCCAATTGAAAAACACAGGAATACTCCAAATAGAGTTTGATTTTATTTTTAATTTCTAATTAATTTACTTCCTTTTTTCAGTCTGTTACGGATATTATACAAACTGGAACAAACGATGAGCAAGCTAATAATGTGATTGAACAAGATGATGATCTTTTGATGCATTTTAATGGAATTGATGTCTTTCAAACTGGCGGTAATGAAGAAGGTGATGATATTATTCCAGCTGGCGGTGTGACTTCAAACTTTTCTTTTGGTTTCAATTTTAATTCGCCAGCTCGTGGAGAGACAACTCATAATAAGGACACGCAGAATGAGGAAACTTTTGGGTTCAATTTCAATTTTTGATTTAATTTTAAGAATTTATGTTGCTTTTAAATTTGCTTTTAGTTTGTTGCTTTTATTTTTTGATTTTATTTTGTTTAATTTAAACTTTTAGTCTTTGTTGATCTATTACTGTTATAAATTTATTGCTTTATTTTCTTTTGTTCTTAGTTTTTTACTCTAAATGCTTTAACATTGCATTTGTATTTTCTTTAAAATTTTCATCATCATTGACTGACCTGGTGCGGAAACGTCGGCGCGGAATCGTCCCTAACCGGACTATTTTCCTGTCTCCTCGTTTTCTACACTATTTTGCCCAAAATTCGGTAATTTCTAAGGATTCGGTTTTCAGAATTTGTTTATAAACAATTTAATTACTTGTTTAAAATTAATATTTAAGATTCTATCGAATTAATGAATATTGATACTGCGGCTCAACAGGCTTTGGATATTTTTTCTATTGGATCCGAAAGTAATCAATGCGGTGCTTCTATTACATTACATGATCATTTAAATCGTTGCCGATCATCATCAGGGAAACGTTTAATTCGTATGTTTTTACTTATTTATATTTTTTAAATTTATTTCAAGGTGATTGGCTTTGTCATCCACTGCTTTCTCTTCCTCAAATTGAAAAGAGACTCGACGTTGTTGAAGCTCTTTGCTCATGCCCTGCTGTACGGCAATCTCTTCATGAAAATTTACTTCGGCGAATGCCTGATATTGGACTTTTAACTCGAAAATTAGAACAAGGGAAAGCAACATTATCAGTAATTTAATTCTTAAATTAAAAATTTTTTATAATAATTTTTTCTGAGGATTGTTATAGACTTTATCAAATGGTTATTTTAATTAAAAGAATCAGTCCTTTATTGTCTTCAATGCAAACAAGTGTAACTGAAAGGATTTTTGCTTCAATAAACGAATTAATTTTGGTTAGTTTTCTTAAAATTTGTTAAATTGTCTATTGATTTTTAAAGGAGAAAGTCCAACAAAGCATTGTTGATTTACGCCGATTTGCTCAATTAATTGAAAATACACTCGATTTCGATTATTTTGAACAAAATGGCCAACACAGAATTCAGCCAAATATTGATCCAAAATTGCAAGAGATTAGCAAGAAAATTGATGGAATGAATGATGAAGCACAAAATTTGCGTAGAAAAATGGCAGATAATGCAAAATGTGAAGTAAAACTGGAATCTAACTCAGAATTAGGATTTTTCTTGCGAGTCACGTTGAAAGTACATAACTTTTGTGGTTTTTAAAATATTAAAAAAAAAATTTTCTAGTCAGAAGGTTCACTTCGTTCTGTCAATGGCATTCGTGTTATCGACAGCACTAAGGGAGGAGGAGTTCGTTTTTCTACCTCTAAACTCGATCAACTTAATACACAATATTTGGAATTGCTCTCTTCTTATGAATCAAGTCAACAAGAACTGACGAAAATTGTTATTTCGACTTGCGGTTTATTTACAATTTAAGAGATTTTTAAATTTGCTTTTTTTTCAGCGGGTTATATACCGGCACTTAAATTATTTGATGACTGTATTGGTGTTCTTGATGTTTTAACTGCATTTTCAATAGTAACTGCTACCTCGGCAACTCCTTATGTTCGACCAAAAATTCTTGAAAAAGGTAATACAATTAAACAGCTCAAAACATTCTCAGAAATTTATTTAATCCTTAAGGAACGGGTGTGCTAGATTTACGTAGCTGTCGACATCCTACAGTTGAACGGCTCCCAAATATGCATTATATACCTAATGATGTCCAACTTGGTCAAAATAATGATGGACAAAATTCTGCCAGTTTTATGATTCTTACAGGTTTTTACTAGGCAATTATCAATTTAAAAAAAGTCTTAAAGGAGCAAATATGGGAGGAAAAAGTACTTATTTGAAGGCTGCAGCATTGACAATTTTTCTAGGTCAAATTGGGTGTTTTGTGCCTTGTGAGATGGCTAGTTTTTCAATTGTCGATGGAATTTTTACAAGGTCTATAAAGAATTTAACCTGTTCAAAATTTTGTTTTTTAGAGTTGGAGCGGGTGATTTTCAATTCAAAGGGATTTCAACGTGAATTTTTTTTAATTTAAATTGTCAATGATTCGTCAATTAAAATATAGATTTATGGCAGAAATGATGGATTGTGCAACGATTTTGGAACGAGCAACACCAAATTCTCTTATATTAATAGATGAACTTGGACGAGGTACAAGTACTTATGATGGCTTTGGATTGGCATGGGCAATTTCTGAGTAAATATTTTTATCGAAAAACGATAAAGATTTAATTTTTAGGGATATAATTTGTCGTTTAAATTGCTTTACTTTATTTGCAACTCATTTTCACGAAATCTCAAAACTGGAAAAACGCTATCCTGAAAAAGTAAAAAATTGTCGAATGGACACATTTGTTGAGGATGGAAAATTGGTTATTTTATTTCAAGTAATGCAAGGAGTTGCACAAAAATCGTTTGGATTAAGTATTGCTCAAATTGTTGGTTTTTCAAAAGAAATTTTGGATGTAAATATTTTTTAGATTATTCAAAATTTTTTAAATTTTATTTTTAAGGATGCGGAAAATATATTAATTGAATTGGAAGGGAAATGTATGGCAGAAAATTCTGAAGGATAAAATAGGAATTGAAAAGAGGGAATAAGATTGGATTTATTATAATTTATTTTTGAATGTTTTTTTGATTTTCATGGTGAATTTTTGAGAAAATTGATATATAGTTAAAGGATTTTTTTGTTATTTGTTCATATTCTCTATTATATTTTAAATAGAAAATAATTTTTAAATTTCTAAATTTAGGATCATTAGTCTTGAAATTTAAAAAATTATTTAAATGCGCTTCACAAATATTAGGATGGGTGGTGGTATTGGGCAGGAGTTGGGTAAATTCACAAAGGTTTTTCAATATTTAAATATAAACTTAATTTTTAATTGCAGGCATATGGCTTCTATAGAATTGCTTTGGCACCAAATGAGCAAAAAGCTTGGAAGGGATTCTTCATTGGGTGTTGGAAGGTTAGAGGTTTTTTAGTTTTAATTTTCGTTAGGAGTAGGCAAGCCTTCATTGAAATTGATATCTGATGAATTTTAGAAATCTATGTTAGATTGTCTTATGTATGTTAGATGATACATCTATTCACTAGCTTTATTTTTCGAGTCCCTAAGTTTATAAAATAAGTTCATAAAATCTTAATTAAAAATTTTTTTTAATAATTTTGCTTTTTGTGTTAAACTTTTAAAATTTAGCCAATAAGAGAGCATGGCCGTTATTGGTGGACGTGGGCTTTGCCAGGAACTATTTATTACTTAGTTTATGCTAACGCCAAAGAAGCACATGAGAAATGGCGACGTGAAAAGCACCATTAAGAATTTGGAATAAATTTTTGGATAGAATTGTGTTGAAAGGAAAATTGATAGGATGAATTAAAGATTTTTTGACTATTTATATCGTAAATGAATTAAATATTGTTAGAAAAAAATAATTTTGTGAAGTAAAGAGAAATAAAAAAAGTCTTAAATATTCTTGGGTGAAGGGGCAAAACGAGGATTTTGGTAAGTCTTTGTTTCGGCAAAACCGTGCTTTGTTCGAACGCGTTTTGTCTGTGTTTTGTCCATTCTGCGTTTTAGCCCGAAACGATTATTCTTGCTCCCTTCCAACCCGATAGAATAAGTTAATTTTAACCAAAAGAATGTTTAAAGTTTATTCATAGGTCATAAAATTTGTGCAATTCCCTTCCTTTTCATTCAATCATTTACATTTCTTTTCTTTTTTTGAATAATGTGCATTAGTTTAAAAAATTAAAATAAAAGACATTTACTTTCTCATCTGCAATTTATTTTTAATTTATTCACATTTAAAAAATGTCGTCCATATTTTATAAAAAAAATGATTTTTTGAAATGAATAAACACTTTCTCATTTAAGTCCACATTCCTATTTTCTTATCTAGTTTGGTGCATCAGTAATTTCTTTTTGTTGTTAAAATCCTTGAGAAAGTCACACTCAATTTGTCTATTTTTCTTATTGTTAGACTCGATTGGCTTAAAACGGTCAATTTCTATTTTTTCTTGTTCCGGAATTCGATTTTTTTTGCTCCTTTATTAATTAACAAATTTTAAAAATAAATTGATTAAATTTTAGAAAATTTTAAAGGAAACTTTTTTGCTTATTATATTTGACATAAATGGAGTCTCTTATTCCAGTTATTAGCAAATTACAAGGTTTTTAAGTTTTCCAAGGAAAGTCATTCATTTTTAGACGTATTTGCGACTATTGGTTGCCGTGGAGCAGATGTTGAGCTTCCTCAAATTGTAGTGATCGGTTCCCAGGTTGAACTCAACACTTTCTTTCTATAGCCATTTATTTAGAGTTCGGGAAAAAGTTCAGCACTTGAGGGAATTGTTGGACGTGATTTTTTGCCGAGGGGCGTTGGTATAGTCACTCGTCGACCGCTCATTCTTCATTTATCTCATTCACCATTGAAGAGTCCATTGCGAGAACAGAAGAAAGGTAGTCTAAATTTGTATTTTATCTTTAGATACTTGTTTTTTAAGCTCCGGCAATTGATGATTGGGCCGAATTTGGACATGCGCCAGGCGTTATTTATACAAATTTTGATGTATCATTTATTATTTTTCTTAATGAACTTTAACAATATTTCCTATTTTTCAGGAAGTTCGAGAGGAAATTGAACGCGAGACAGACCGTTTGACTGGAAGGTATTTCTTATTTTAATTTATTTTAAAATTTTGCCTATTTAGCAATAAGGGCATCTCTCCTGTTGCCATCACTTTGACTATTTATTCGCAAAATGTCGTCAATCTCAGTCTTGTCGACTTGCCTGGTATCACCAAAGTTCCGGTCGGTGACCAGCCGCCTGATATTGAGGTTGAATTTATTTGATGTTAGAAAATTTTATTTGATCATTTCAGGTTCAAATTCGTAAAATGCTTTTCTCTTTTATCTCGAATCCGAATTCGTTAATTCTCGCTGTCATGCCGGCTAATCAGGACTTTGCAACTAGTGAGTCTCTCAAAATTGCTAGAGAAGTTGATAAGGAAGGTATAAAAATATTTAGATTCAAATTTTAACTAAAAAATTTAGGAAACCGAACACTCGTTCTTTTGACAAAACTTGATTTGATGGATCAAGGCACTGATGCTATGGACGTTCTTACAGGGAGATTGGTACCTGTAAAGCTTGGAATTATCGGAATGTGAATTTTTATTTTGTTGATAGGATTTTAATATTTTTCTTTCAGTGTTAACCGATCTCAAGCAGATATTATTGCGAACAAATCAATTAAGGATTGTCTGAAAGACGAATCAAAATTTTTGCAAACAAAATATCCAACTTTGGCTTCTATGAATGGAATTCCCTATCTGACAAAACAACTAAATCGACTTCTTATGGTTTTTACGTTATATTTTTCATATTAAAATTTATTTTCAGCATCATATTAGAGAGTGCCTTCCGCAGTTAAAAATTCGGGTATTTTTTCTTTTTAAATTTTGTTTTTTATTTTTTTACTTTTTCAGATCAACACTTTAATTGTCCACTGCAATACAATTTTACGTAGTTTTGGTGAGGCCGTTGTTGATAAGAATCGTACTCTTTTGAATATAATTACCCATTTTTCTACTGCCTATAATTCGACTATTGATGGGACTGCGAGAAATATCGAGACTACAGAGTTATGTGGTGGAGCTCGTATTTGTTATATTTTTCATGAGACATTTACTCGCGCATTAGAAGATTTTGATCCTCTTGCGAATTTGAACAAATTGGATGTTTTGACAGCAATCCGAAATGCCACTGTATTCTAAATTTATAATGTTATAATTCTATTTACAGGGTTTGCGACCGTCTTTGTTCATTCCCGAAGTTAGCTTTGAATTGTTGGTTAAAAAGCAGATTGAGAGACTTGAGGAGCCAGCGATTACATGTGTTGACTTGGTCTACGAGGAAATGCTTCGAATTGTTCAGCATTGTGGAATTGGTTTATTTATTTAAATGCTTTTTTTAAATGATGTTTTTTGTAGAAGTTCAACAAGAAATGCAGCGTTTTCCGTTTTTGTATGAGCGAATCCATGAAGTTATCAATCATGTTCTTAGCGATCGACTTCCACCAACTAAAGAGTTCTTAAAAACAATATTTTAATTTTATACTTTGTATATTTATATTATTTGAAGGTTTGTTTCGAATCTTGTCTCAATTCAATTAGCCTACATTAATACCAAACATCCAGAATTTGCGTCTGATGCTTCTCTTATAAATTCTTTACAAGGAGCATCTTCTGACGAATCTGTGGCAATAATTACTGAGGTACTAATCTTTCGACTTTTCCGTCACTTTCAATATATTTTTTAAAATAATTTTCCATTTTGAAGAAGGTTCCGGCATCCGAAGCTGATGGAAAAACTGCTTCAGCTTCTTTACCTAATTTGGAAAATGGTACAAACGGCCCGTCTTCTGTTTTTGGGGAATCTGCGTTTTATGCTGACATCCATAATAAAGTTAATCTCAAAAAACTTCATCCAAATTATTGGTTTAATCGCAACTCAAAACAGGCGGATGAAGACTCAGATCTTGGAGGAGATAATGGAACTGCTGACGGTGTTTTAACACGTACTGATAAGACAGTTAGGCGTCCTTTGTCTGTTAGAGAGAAGCGGGATATTGCTGTTATTGGTTTGTTTATCTTTCATTTGTTAAATTTATTTTATTTATTTTAGAGCGTTTAATCAAAGGCTATTTCATTATTGTCCGTAAATCCATTCAAGATTTAGTGCCGAAGGCAATCATGAATTTCCTTGTTAATAATGTGAAGGTTTAGAATTCTCTTTTTTATTTCGTCAAATTTTGTTTTTTTAGGAGAATCTTCAAAGTGAATTGGTTCGACGTTTGTATAATGCTGATGACTTAAATACTCTCCTTTCGGAGAGTGATGCTATCGCTCAAAAACGAGCAGAATCGGCCGAAATGCTTAAGGTTATTTTTTGATTTTATTTTTAAATTAATTACAAATTTTATAGGCTTTGAACAAAGCGAACATGGTCATAAGTGAAATCCGTGAGACTCATATTTGGTAATTTGTTGTTGTTGTCCGCTTTAATAATTGGTAGGTTTTAGCTTTTTTATTAATTTATAATTACATCCAATTATTTAGGCTCAATTTTGATGATCCTCGATTTTATTATTATTTGAAAATTTTATGCTGATGTTTTTCATGCAATTGACACGGGAGTTTTAAAGAATTTATTATATATTTTTTGGCATTCTTTTAAAACTTTATTGCTTTTTTTTTAAATTTTTAAATATTTGCTTTTTCAAATTGTTCTCTTTTGGTTTTATGCTGTTTGTGACTTCACTTATTTATAAAAGAAATATTAATTTTGTATTTCCATTTGTTGTAAATTCCAGACAGTATATTAACCATCTTTCGATTTATTATATTATACTTTTTTTGACCGACAAATTTTTATAAATTTTCATTATTTGAGACTTTTAAGTGTGAGGTTTTAACCAAAATTAGTTTTTTTGTAGACACTTAACACATTTGTAACAGATATTGCAGTTTTTGTAATAGTTCTGATTTTTTTTTCTCCACTTCTTCGAAAATGGGAGTAGCTTGGTATATATTTTTATTAAACATAAAGTTTTCAAGTTGTTTTTATTTTTACAGGGTCTTCGAAACAAATCAAGGAGAACGAGCGATTGTAAGTTATTTGATAGCATTCGTTGTTTTTATAGATTAAAATATTTTGGATATATTTTTTAAGGAATTAATATTCGAGCAGGCCGGTTCTGTTTTACCTCCATCAACTAGCAAACATTTTCGAGTTAATTGTATTTGGTATCGGCCACAACAACACATTGCTGCTTTGGTTATTTTTAAAATTTTAAAAAATATTTTAAATATTATTCAGATAAGCGGTTTTTACGTTATTCATCATTCAAATTTTCCTGATAGTGCTTTTATCATAAATGCAAATAAGCCTGATTCTCGACCGTCGTCTGAAACTGGGAGCGCAGAAAGACCAACGACATCTCGATCACCGGCAGCACCACGTGCTACCGCTGACAAAGGCTTTGAACTACAACTAGATAAATTTCAAAGTGCTGGTCTAACAGGTTTCTGCTATGTAACAAATTATTATAAACATTTCAAAACAATTTTAAAATAAAAATATTTTTATTCTTCTTTAAATTAAGTTGAACCGGCAAAGTTTGAAGTTGTTGGGAATGAGTACCATCTAAAAGACTTTCGTCTTCGAGTTGGGACAGTGACTTTAGGCTCTTCTGTGAAGGTATTGAATTTGAATTTTATCATAATAATATTTTAGGGCACCATTGTTGAAATTGAATACGCCGCTTCCAATATTGTCATGCAATGCCAATCACTTTTGCAAGAAATTATTGACCTTTTCTTTCCCGACCACGGTTTAAAAACCCCAGAAATTTTCCAGAAGCAATGTTCTCAACCAGATAATTATACTGCTATTGATACAGCCCAACAATATCTAGATATATTTTCTGTTATGCGTAAACGATCTTAATTTATTTGATTTTTTGAAAAACGTTCTGTGACTAATGATCGATCATAACATATTTTTATTTATTCTATTTTATCAAAAAGTAAAGTTAATATTTTTTGCTCATGGATTTGGATCAAACGCCTTGGCGTGTTGTAGCTCATTTGGTGGACGAGATACGATTGAACGTGTGAGTTTATTAGAAGTAAAATCAGATTAGTTCCGAAATCCTTAATACAACTCAATATTTAGAGAGTTCAGAACTACATATAAGATTTTTTGATATTATTAGAAATCGTCGCCTAGACCATCTTGAACAATGGCAGATTGTTATGTACACATTGGCTTTGCTTCTTTTTGTACAATGGGTGAGGAAAGTACTGAAGTTTGAGGAGGTTGTCTCATTTCGTAGGGCGGTATGTATTTTACTTTAAATTTGGCAAGTCATACCTAAAACTTTATTATTAGTGGCATGAAATGTTGAACAGTTTGCCTATGTATAGAAAGAAATTGGATGAGGGACAAGAGCTTACCTACAAGGAATTTGAAGGTATAAAATATTTTTCAAATAAACTGATTTATTTTTTCCTTGTAAGATAGAATACATCGAGCTGATAGACTTAAAGAATTTTACAAATATTTGCCGGACCGAGGGTTGCCAGCTGATGACATTATTCGTGAGGCGACATCCTACAAAACGATGGGCGGAATTTTGTTTGAACGTGGACATTTGTGTGGTTCAATGTTTGGAATTGAAGATGAGGATGGGAATTATCAACGACTATTAAAACAAGTAAAACTGCCTATAGTGATTTTAACAGTGGGGAATCTAAACCTTAGTCTGAACCTTAGTTGGGACAACACCCAACTATGATCAATTACAATTTGAAATATTTTTCCAAAAATTAATTAAAACTTTGTTTTTCCAGATTTTTGAGCTTTATTCATTTACAAATGTTGCATTTCCCGAAGTATTTCCTTCTGCTCGAAAAATGGAAGCGGAATGTATAAGAATTCTTTGCAGCCTTTTTCATGGATTGGATAAGAGTTGCGGTGTTTTAACAACGAGCGGTAATATTTTTGTGGGGGTTTTAAAATAATTCTTTTTTTTCAAATGACAGGTTCTGAATCAATCATTCTTGCCTGCCTAGGTGCTTAACTTTGATTTGTGATATATCATCTAATTTATTTATTCTGTAGCTTACCGCAACAGTGCATACAAAAAAGGAATTCGAAAGCCAGAAATGATTGTTTGTCCAAATGCACATATTGCATTCTTTAAGGCGGCTAAATTATTGGGGTAATTTATAAAAGTGAATTTTTTAATTTATTCGTGTCGTTAAGAATGCGAGCAGTTCGTGTTAGAACTGGAAGTAAATATGAAGCAAATGTTGGGTCAATTAAACGAGCAATTGGCCACGAGACATGCATGGTTTTTATTAAAAATATTTTTTTTAATTTTATTTCGCCAGATTGTTGCAAGTGCTCCTTCTTATGTTAACGGTGTTATGGATAATGTAGAAGAAATTGCTCAGGCATTTTTATATTTGATTTTAACAAAATATTCTTTTATTTTTTAGTTGGGAGTCCGCTTTGGAGTGCCTGTCCATGTGGACGCAACAATTGGAGGTTTCATAATTCCTTTCCTGGAACAATGTGATTATCCAGCTCCAATGTTTGATTTTCGAATTTCTGGTGTTTCCTCAATAAATTTTGATCTACATAAGGTAAATCTTCGTATTTAATAATTGTGATTGAAATATATCTATTTATAAATTTTCACAAAAAATGGTCGTTTAAAAAGTCAATTTCTTAATATGTATTATGAGAACAAAACATTCTAGTACACCGTACCCTCTTTGATTGAGTCTTTCATTCATATTTTTGTAGTATGGCTATTGTCCTGTTGGATCAAGCGCTGTTCTATACCGAGATCAAGAATTACTCCAATGTCAAAGCTATTCTAATGTTGATTGGCCAGGTGGTATTTACACTTCTGCTACATTGGATGGTTCTCGTCCTGGACTTCTAATTGCATTGACTTGGGCTTCATTACTTTACTTGGGCCGACTTGGTTATGTTGAAAGAACTCAACGAGTTATGGACACATCAAGAATGTTAAAGCACAGAATTGAGGAAGAAATATCTGATCATTTGGAGGTTTTAGGAGAACCTCTAGGTCCGGTTATTGCGATCACAAACAAAAGTTCTTCAAAAATAAAGATACATGCGTTGGGTGATGAGATGCATGATTTGGGGTGGAGCTTTACATTTTTGCAGGTTTTATTTTTTGATTTATCTTACTAAATTTTTAAGAATCCTAATGCTCTCCGTTTTTGCATTTCTCTTCATCAAACGCGTGGAGAGGTTATTGACTCATTAATTAGTGACATGAAGAAATGTATTGAAAGAATTATACAAGATGACTGCTATGAATATCCAACAAAAACTGTATTTTTAAAAGAAAATTGCAATTGTTTATAATAATTTTAGAATGTTCTTTTTGGAATTTCTGGCGCCTTTATGGACAGAGGGGTTGCTAATCTTCTTTCCAACGCTTTGTTGGAAGCATATTATTCGACTCCAACTTCACCTCATGGAGAAATGGGATTGCGTAAGCGCACGTTAAGTATTGAAGGACGTAAACTTTCACAATTACAATTGCCAAGTGGTATGTTTGTAATCCTTTTCTATTTAAATTTTTTAATTTTTAAAGCTTTGGCTGCTCTTCGTGAACAATATTCATTTGGAGAATTGACAAGCTTCACAGTCCCTACAACTATTAGTACTGGAGAGACATCGACATTATCTGCAGCAACACAAGAAGATGAAATGACAAAAGCAACGGATATAATTCCACAACTTCCATCGTCTTCTTTTGAAACTTTAACAGAAAGAACTGCTAGTATTCCGTTGGTTACAAAAGAAGAAACAGAAGGTGAGCAGTTAACAGTTACGAATAATATAAATGAAGAACAGAATCATCGAATTACAGTTATTCCAGAAGAGGAGAAAAGTAATGATATGATGAATAATGTTAAGCAAGACGATTAATTGTAAATTATAGGTATTATTTGATAATATTAAATATCTTATCAAATAAATAGAATAACCTTTGTAAAATGGATTACTGAAATTTTCTGGTTTATTAAAAATTTAAATGTAAATAGAATTTATTAAAATTCTAATGATTTTTAATGGGTGATGGAAATAACAACAAGTACAGGGGAAGAGGTTACTAAATATTCATTTAAAAGGTTATTCATTCACAAATTCATTTGGAAATGAAATTTTACTTTTTTATTTCTACATTTAATCGTGACTATTTTTGATGTTTTATTATACTTTTTTAGAAAAGTTTTAATTTTGACTTCTCTTAATGAGCATTATTTACATTTTACATATATGATTTTTTTAGTGAAATCATTTTTTAAATACGAGTATAAAATTATTTTATATTTGGCTTTTTTGTTGTTTTTATATGTTCGCTAACTTACAATTAATATTTAAATTTTAAATTAAGAATGAATTGTTTGCTTAAAAATTGTTAAAATTTAGGGCTGAAATTATGTTTTTATTATATTTCGTTTTCGGACTTCTTTTATGTTTTTCCTCTGCCAATTTTCCAAACAAGGAAGATGCTGATATTGGAATGTCTGTTGGTGATTCTGCTGCCACAAAGGTGAGAAATGTTTAAAGTTTTAATGTTGGCTCGTTATTTTATATTTGATTATTACGCATCGGATGCTCGTGTATTTGCCAATGTTAAACCCTGTAGTCAGATTAGCGAGAGAATTTTGAAAAATTAACATTAAAAATTACTTATAGTTGGTTCGTAGTGCTTTGGAATATCAGCTTCGTTCACCACATTTAATTAAACTAAAATTGCGAAGTGCCGAAGACGTTTGGTTTCATGATGTTGCTAAACTTAACTCTAAGAACAGCGTTTCAATAGGTATAAACATAAAACATTTTTTAAAAATATTTTTAGGATCATTAAATGTGCGTTTTCCAAATGATAAAATAATTGAAGCAGAAGCTCGTCATTTAAGTCTAAATTCTTCAACTCTTGTAAATGATGCTTCTTTACCTTTATTTTTTCTTGATCGCAAAAATGTAGTGGTGGATGTTGAGGTATTTTTTGAATATAATATTTTTTGGATTTTTGAGTAGAAATCTTTTCTAACTACAATAAATACTAAAAAGTTTTGTAATTAAATTCTTGAGACAATTTGGCAAACTTTTTCTAAAAAAGCAAGTCAAAAGTTTAATAGAAAAAGGTGTTCTTTTCATTTGCATCTTTTTTCAAGTACATGTTTTCAACATAAAACTGAATTAATTTTAACAGGTTGACCATGCCTTTCTTCAACTTCGAGTTGAACATCCAGCCTCTCTTTTTATGGAAAATTGTTCTATTAAATTAGAAAACGTAAACTTTGGTGTTGAGCGAACTTATCTTTTAAATACTGTTTTTAATGCTTTTGGGAAGACTTTATCTGTTGGAATGATTAGGGATAAAGTTTGTGATATGCTACAGGTTGCTGTTATGCATTTACGACGAGAGTTTAGCATGTAAATTTTTTTATAAATTTTTGCATTTAAAATTTTATTTAAAAAAATTTTTTTAAGAGAATTACCATTTAAAATGCTAATTCCTGACAAGTTTATTCGACACTTACAAAATGATCGAGTTATTCTCCGCTCGCGTATTAATTCAATTAAAGCAGTTTCAAATCAAATTGCTGTCACGGTTGAAGAAATTATAATTTATTTTTAATTTTTATAATATTTTTAAAGGTCGTTATGGAATGGAAAGTTGACGAGGTACCAACTACTGAACGTACTTCTTTTGTTGATAGTGAGAGTTTACATTTTAATGAAACGGAAATTAAAAAATTGAAAAATGGCGAGGAGAAGGCTCAACAAAGTGATCATAAGTAAGAAATATTTTTTTAACTTAAAAATTTTATTTGGCAAAAAATACAACCAAATTCCATCATAGTGAATTAATTATTAAAAACAAGGACTAAAAAATATTTTAAACCATTTCTTCATCATGTTTATTTTCTTTATTTTTTCAAAGAATGCAATCGTCTCCATTGGCTGACTTCAATTCTTCATCAGTTAGTGAAGCAATTTTAATTTGGATAGAGGACCGATTAATTAATGATTTATTAAAACAATTTCGGTGGGATGTTCAGTGGATTAATGAAGTTGTTGTTTATATGTTGGATTTTTTAAATTTAATTTTTTAGAGTATTCAATTAAACAGTCCTCGATTGCCAAAAGAAACACTCGACTTTTTTGAGGTTTTTAATTAAATTAAAAAGAATTTTAATTTTTAAGGTTGTTTGCCCGCAATGTTTCTTCCTTTTCAATATAAGTTCAAATGGTCTTCCAAATGTTCAAATCCTGGCAGATAAGTCAATCATCATCAGAAGGTTAATTTTTTAAATTTGATTGAATTTCTAATTCGAATATTCACAATAATTCCATAAATTTTTCCCGTTAAGCGAAAAATGGAAATTTACGAATGTAATTATAAGTGCCTCTTCTAGTTTTTCCTTTGTTTAGAGTTAAATTTTTTAACTTTTTGAAGTTTTCTGTTGTCCGATACAAAATTTTAACGAAATCAGTTGATAATAATTTAAATAATTTTAAGTAATAATCGAATAACCGCTGCAGTATTAAATCCAACTTTGGGGCATTCTGGCAAACGCCGAACAGCAATTGATCTTTCAATGCTTCTTCAACTTAAATTAGTCCCTCAAATACAAAATGGAATTTTCCGTACACATTTAGAGCTTATGGAACGTAAAGTAGAGGTTCAAAAAGAAAGTGCTTTCCCTTCAGAATTGTATGGAGCTGTTGAACAATTAATACAAGGTGAGGAAAGCTTCTGCTGAATTCACAATTACAAGTTTCTTCCTCCTAGATTCTTCCCCAATCATATCCTATTTTTTTAATTCCTTAATAAATACTTTAAGATTTTATGTTTTAAGATTTAATTGCCGAAGATATGTGGCCATTATTGCAACGTGAGCTTGAACCACTCATTTACCAATCGGGCATTCAATTACCTACAAGATGTGGACTTGACCCTACATCTGCACAATTATATTTTGAACAAGGACGTTTGGGTGTGTCCGCTCGATTAGAAAATAATTTGGAAGAAGTTTCTTTCCATCAATGTCTTCAGCAATTTAAAAGTGGATTGCCGGATGCTTCTAAATTATTTAATGATTTGTCAACTCGACATAAATACAAAAGTAAACGATTTATACGTCTTGGCTAGTTAGGAGAGAAGAGGGATAATGTAAGGAATTAAAAACAATATTTTCTTTTTTTACCAATTATTTATGTGCATTTAAACAATTTTCTCTTAGCTCTTTCTTTTTATAAAATCGCATTTTATTGCCTGCCCTGCATAACTTAAACTTTTTTTTAAATTGCCTTGCCATAATAATTTTTGTATTTATTTTCCGGAAAAAATGTTTATATTAAAGATTGAAAACCGGAAAATAAAATCCTTTAAAAATGTCACTTTACTTTTTATAAAATTTGCCTGCTTTTTTTGCCTTTTTATGTTTATCTCATTTTTTAAAAAAATAATAAGGCGATAATTATATTCTTAATATTTTATTTATTATAACAAATTTGATAAAATCTTTAAAACAAAACCAAAAATAATTTTTCGATTTTAATTACTTTGCTGGATGCATTACCCCCTCCTCAGTAATTAAAAACGATTTGCTCGGTTCTGAGGTACCATAATCATTAATAGCTTCTACATAGACTAGATAAGTTGATTTTGATTTGTTTGTAATACTTTCTAGGGGAATACAAATTTCAGAATTAATTCCCTTGAAAAATTTTGATTTTCAATATTTTAGAGATATTCTTCACCTTTTCATTACTAGAAGCAATTATTTTTGTAATAAGTACAGGTTTAGTTCCACCTCCTCTCAATTCTTTAATTAATGTGACTCCATATAATTGTCCAGATTTATTTTCACTCCTTTTACGAAGTTTTCTAAACTCTTCAACTGCGGCATCTCTACCATTCCTAGAATTTTAAATTCTTAAATTAAAAATATTCCGGATTTTATGTGATGGGTTATTTGTAGGGTTGGTCCCCGACGGGGGAGGGGGGGGGGGCACGGAGAAGGGTTTTCGGGGAGGCAACGCCATGGGGGGGGGGCGACATTCGAGGACGGGACCAACCCTAGTTATTTGTGCATAAAAGAAATATTTCGAAACATTTCCCAAGATTCGTTAAAATTTAATATGTCTACTAACATTGTGTCTGTTACAACATTCATTTCTTGTAGATGAACAACAAAGGAAGGGATTTTTACTGTATTTTTTAGATTCTCAATTGTAAAACAAAATCGTCGATTTCCACTACCAACTTCTCTAATTTGTAAATTTTTTGGAGCAGGCGGAGGAAAAAGTGCTTAATTATTGAAGAATCTGTGAGCACATTTAACAATAAAAAAGGAAAATAAAATTTAAAATAAAATTCTGACCGTATTGTTGACTAAAACAATCAAATATTTCAGGCAAATAGTACAAACAAAGTCGATGAGATTTTTCTAATTTCTTGATAAAAAAATATTTTTTAATGTTTAAATAATTTTAATTAAATTATAGTAGTTCCTTATAGTGAGGGACAACTAAAGTTTTAACAATTTCCAATTAATTTTCAAACTCGCAGGCGAGTTTCAGAAAGAATTAGAGATCCTTTCTTATAAATGAGAGAGTTAAAATCTAATAGAAATTCCAAAAATTTGGCAAACAACTTTCCAAAAATTCAGTCTCTTAATATTTCATTCATTTACCTGAAAATTATTTCCACAAAAATCAAAACAAAACGGAGGCAAGGCTTTCTTTCTACAACAGGGCAAATAATCACGTTTACCTCCATTTGTTACACAGTTTAAAAATTTTTTATAATCATCTACTTGACAACTTGTTGGATCAAAAAATTCTTCTCCAATATTTCTAGGTCTACACATTGGCCTACATAATGGAGAAACTCCTTTTTCAATACAACATTCTGTGTGGTCATAAGTTAAATTTGCAGGGAAATTTAATTTTAATGCAGAATCTTTTTTTGAAGAAATTATTTTTAAGAGGTTTATTAAAGTTTTCTAACCCCCCAATACATCCAATTTAAAATCTAATTGTTGTTGGCCTCCATTTTGAGTCCACAATTGACAGCCGTATTTTCCACTATCTTCCAAACTTAGATTACGTAATAAAAGAGAATATGCCTTAAATATTTAAATTGTATATTTTTTTATAATTGCTCATATTAAATGCCACTACTGCCACTTTATTAAATGTATTACGTAAATATAAACCGACTTTATTACGTAATGCCCTGGCATTTAATTAAAGGAAATACGGTAACTGCAATGTGTTTTAGCTTAGTTAATATCATTTTGTTAGTTATATCATTTGCTTAGTTAATATCATTAGTTAATATCACTTTTAAAAATTTATTGAATTATTCAATTGAAACTATAACTTTGTTCATATTTGATGACCTCGACGAGCTGAATCGACAATAACAGGGCATCCCGGAACGAAGTTATAGCTCTTCGGTACGTTGGAGTGTTCCCCTTCTAATTTACCTCAACAAAACATTTTTCTCCTTTTATTTCCTCGTCATTATTAATTTCTTCAAGAGACCTTTGTAAAATAATACGTGAAGGTTCAATACCAGAAGTTGGCTCAAATTCAGTTCCATTAAATAAAAGAATTCCATCATGATGCCAAGAAATCTTTTTTTAATAATAATTATTTTTTCTCTTCCAATAATTAATTTTTACCAAAAAATTATTATTTAATTTATTACAAATTTTAATAGAACATTGAAAATTAGCTGTTAAACCATTAACTAATGAAAGTATTGGTGAAGATGATGAAAATAAGGAAATTGGTATTTCTTCTTTTTTATTTTCTACTAGATTATTTATAGTTAAAATAAAAAATAAAAATATTAATAATTTTGAATATTTTAAATAAAATAACATTTAAATAATCTGGAATTTAAAGCTTATTTAATAACTAAATGGATGTAAAATATTCTAAAATAAAAACTGAAGTAGTTAAAAATAAAATTAAAAAGTTGATCTAGTAACTCGATATAAATGAAAAAATTGCCGTTTAGTTTGCTCGTTTAAGAAAATAAATGTTAAAATTAACGAGGATTTAGTGGCAAATTAAGTACTTCAAGTATTAGGAGGGACTGGCTAATTATTTTTTAAAATTATACTTTGAATATGTAGTGAAGAGGAAAGTTATTAATCGAAAAAATACTAATTAATTTAATTTTTAGTAGATGATCAAATTTTTAAATATTTAAAAATAATATAATAAAATGAATTTTTAAATTAAAAATTTTCAATCTATCAATGTAAACGCACTAAAAATCTTCTTTAATTGGTTTAATCGGTCGCATAAAAAGGCCACCGATCAAATTAATTTTTTTATTTAAATCGATTCGAGAGAGAAAAATTAAATAATTTTTGCAAAAATTGATGGGTTTTTTAAAAACTTCCGTTAGCAAAGGAGAAGGAAGGGTAAATTATAAATATCAAGAAAATATGTATAAAAAATCACTTTAAGAAATTTGTTTAGTTTGGCTAATAAATCCAAAAGAAATTAATATCAATTAGCAAGTTCTCGAATATAACCTAAGTCAAATTTAAAAGAAAATTTCAAATATTTTTTAAAAATAAATTTATTGAAAAAAAATTTAAATAATTATAAATTGTAAATTAAATCAACAAGAAAATATTTTTTAAATCAAATTCCTTAACAATTAAATGTTTAGGAATAACATATTTAAAAGGTTTTGCCCCCAAGTCATTTCCAAAATTAGTTTCTACTGAACAACATTGCAATATAACAAATGGTAGATAATAATCATAATTATTCTTTATCAATTTAGCTGTTCCTTAAAAAATATTTTTTTTTAATTTTTATTTTCTTCCAAACCAATTTGTTTTCCGTTTTGTGTGAAAAACATGTATGGAAATTCTTAAGATTTATTTGTTGGTGGATATACTAATCCACACCCAAAAATACAATTATCCCACCAAACAAGATCGAGAACTTCATCTAATTTACCTTCGCAAGTAATTGAAGCTTTGTTTGAATATAAACAAATATAATTCTTTAAATCATTATTTTTAAATCCAATAAAGATATATTTATCTGAATCTTTCTCGATTTTATATTTAATCATTTTTTCAAAAAATTTTATTTGTAGAATGTCATTTTTTCAATGTGTTCGGGTTTTTTGAGATTGTTAGATTTTACTTTAGATTCGGGAACAAAGGAACAAATAACATTATGTATAATCGATTGAAAAAAAAATTTTCTAAAAATAAAAAAATAAAAAATTTTCTATTTTCTAAAAATAAAAAATTTTCTAAAAATAAAAAAAAAATTCTACAAATAAAATTTCTGCAAAACGGACAGCAACAGAGGCCAATTTTTCGCCTCTCTCCAATAATAGCAACAACAACGAAAATCCAAATTCTCTTAATTTTCTTATTGATTGTCAAGTCAATTTGGTGAAAACAACACTAACAACAATCAATACTTTTATTCCGTCTATGACAACAGAGCAAACTCCGATTTTATTAAACTTTATTAAAACTCTGACTGAACAATTTAACCTTCTTAGTAAATCAATCGATTCACTTAAAGAAAAACAACAAGAAAAACCTTATGGATATTTTTCAGGAACAACAAAATTAAACACTATTTCAGCAGAGGAGCTAGAGCGCGAAAGAAGTGTTGTTGTGACTGGTTTGACGGAATCTACAAAAAAACTTCCATCAGAGAAAATGGCGGATGACTCCAAAACAATAACAAGTTTACTCGACTCGGTGGGGGTTGAGTGCGCACCCAGGTTTTTTTACCGTATGGGACGTCAGTCTAACCCACCCAATAATGGTCATGCCCGTCTTTTAAAGATTGTTTTACCATCCAGAAAATTTCAGCGTGAACTTCTCAACAAATGGAAAACAAATGGCAAGAAATCTTTCCCCCAAGTCAATATGCGTGCCTCAATGACACCAGAACAATTACAGCGACGAAGGGAACTAATTGAAGAGTGCAAAAAGAAGAGAATGGAGAACCCTCAATTGGACTGGATAGTTTATGGAGAAGCAGTAATTCTAAGATCGGAGGTTCACATTTTTAGAAAAAATAAAAAAATCTGACTTCAAAAAAATAATCTAAATAGATTAAATACTATTAATTTTTTATATTTTAATTCAAGAAGTTTAAAAAACAAATTGTCAAATTTACACTTTCTGTTATTAGAAAACCGTTATAAGTTAATAGGGGTTACTGAATCATGGTTGACTGATATAGTTGATGATAATCTTTTACTACATGGTACCCCATATAATATTATCAGAACTGATAGGGCCAATGGTAGGGGTGGAGGAACTTGCTTATTTATATCAAATAAAATACCATTTATTAAAATAGAAATCCCCCAAACTTTATCAGAGATATCTTGTATAGATTTATTAACCCCAGATGAAAAAATTCGTATTATTTTGATTTATAGATCAATCACTAAAGAAACCATTAAGGATTTTAAATCTATCTTGCAAATCTTGTATGATATATCGGCTGTATCCTACCCACTTATCTTATTAGGAGACTTTAACCTACCCAATATCGATTGGGAAAATTATAGTACTCAAACCAAAAATACCAAAGAAACATTATTTTTAGAATATATTCAAAGTTTAGGACTAAAACAAAAAATTGATAAACCCACTAGAGGAGTAAATATATTAGACTTACTATTAACTAATGAGGATGAATTAATAAAGGCTATAACAATCAATCCGCCTATAAGTAAATCTGACCATAATACAATAGAATTTGAAATATCTTCTACTAACAATTACCAAGATAATAATTATACATATCCAAATTTTCGTAAAGCTAACTATGAAATAATTAATGCACATTTCTCAACAATAAACTGGAATCTAGTATTCACACAATGCTCTGATATAAATCAACTATATTTCACTTTCCAATCGATTATACATAATGTTATTTGTTCCTTTGTTCCCGAATCTAAAGTAAAATCTAACAATCTCAAAAAACCCGAACACATTGAAAAAATGACATTATATCTAAAAAATCTGTGGAAACAAAAATCCACGCCAGAGCTAACACGTAAAATCTCATATGTATCAAAAAGAATAGATTCTGAAACTAACAAATTTTTAAAAAATAGAGAAAAGCATAAAACACAAACTATCAGTCAAAAATTCTCATACATCTCTTCATTTCTTAAATCCAAAAACAGGAAAATAACTTCAATTTTGGATAAAAATAATCAATTAGTATACGCTGATAATAAAATAGCACAAATTCTAAGTACCCAATTTAGTTCTGTATTTAATAAAAATTCATTAGACAATGCAGATCTAAACTCTATAACAAATCAAAATACATGTCAATCCGTAATCATAAATGAACTTCAAATCTTTGATCTTCTTTCTAAGCTACCTGAAAAAACTAACTCTTCTTATGACTCAATACCATGTATATTCCTTAAAAAATGCGCTAAAAGTCTTTATTATCCTTTATATTATATTTTTTCTTATTCATTAATGACTTCAACACTTCCTGAAATATGGAAGCAAAGTATAATAATACCAATACCAAAAACATTAAAGATACCCAAAATAGAAGAATTTCGCCCAATTTCATTACTATGTTCAATCACAAAAGTAATTGAACAAATTATTGCAAACCATATATCAATTTATGTTGAACAAAATGGTATATTACCAGATTGTCAACATGGATTCAGACCAAACAAATCCGTCACTACCCAACTAATTGAGGTTCAAGATGATATATCATTTGCATTGGATAATAAAAATTTAATAAACATAGTTTATTTCGATCTAGCTAAAGCCTTTGATTCTATACCCCATGAACGTCTTTTAACAAAACTAAAAGTAATAGGAATTGAAAAATCACTCTTAAAATGGATCTCTAATTACTTACACAACAGAAAATCTGTTGTTAAAATAGGAAATGAATATTCTGAACAATTCTCTATTACTAGTGGAGTTCCGCAAGGATCTATCTTAGGCCCGCTCCTTTTTAATATATACTTATCGGACTTACCAACATTCTGTTACACTCCTGAAATAAAAATAAAATTATTTGCCGATGACATCAAAGCCTATCAAATTCTAAAAAAAACCGATTTATCTAACAATTCTTTACAATTATTTATTAATAAATTCATTCAATATTGTAACACCAATGGTCTCAACATATCATTAAATAAATGCTCAGTATTATATATAGGTAAATCAAACCCTAAATTACAATACTCAATAGGAAACCACAAAATATTCCAAATTAGTAATGAAGACAAGAATAGGGATCTCGGAATTTTCTTCACTTCTAAATTCAAGTTTAATAAACATATTCAAACAATATCTCTAAGGGCCAATAGAAACTGCTATGCATTAATTAAATCTCTAAAATCACAAGATCCTAAAATTCTTATAGAAGCATTTAATATATACGTAAGGTCAATTATAGAATTTGGGTCACCGGTTTGGAATTCTTTAACTAAGAAAAACATTAAATTAATAGAAAACATACAAAAACGATATTTAAGATTTGTTTACAAAAGAATCACAAAGGTAAAAATAGAAGATATTCCACCATACAAAACACTTTTACAACATTTCAAAGTAGAATCCCTTGAAAGTCGAAGACTTAAAGCTGATTTAAAGCTATTTCATCAAAATATATTTGGGAAAATTAAAATTAACCATAATAATTCCTATATCATAAAACAAACAAAAACTAGGGGCGAAAAATATAAAATACAACCAACACGTTGTTCAACCATGATTCGGTACAACTCCTTTTTTGTTCGAACTGCTAGAATTTATTCACTAATTCCTATAGAAATTAAAAAAAATACACCCAAAATGTTTTCTAAACTTCTTGAACAGTTGGATATTTCCAATATCTTAAATGACAAATGAGATAATTTTATTTGCTAAGCTGCTTTGATTTTTATTTTAAGGACATTTTTTATTAGCATTTTTATTTTTCGTAATTTCACTTTAAATTGTTTTATTTTTGACTGTCACACCCTAGTGGTGTAAATAAATAAATAAATAAAATAAATAAATAAAATAAACAAAACGGAGGCAAGGCTTTCTTTCTACAACAGGGCAAATAATCACGTTTACCTCCATTTGTTACACAGTTTAAAAATTTTTTATAATCATCTACTTGACAACTTGTTGGATCAAAAAATTCTTCTCCAATATTTCTAGGTCTACACATTGGCCTACATAATGGAGAAACTCCTTTTTCAATACAACATTCTGTGTGGTCATAAGTTAAATTTGCAGGGAAATTTAATTTTAATGCAGAATCTTTTTTTGAAGAAATTATTTTTAAGAGGTTTATTAAAGTTTTCTAACCCCCCAATACATCCAATTTAAAATCTAATTGTTGTTGGCCTCCATTTTGAGTCCACAATTGACAGCCGTATTTTCCACTATCTTCCAAACTTAGATTACGTAATAAAAGAGAATATGCCTTAAATATTTAAATTGTATATTTTTTTATAATTGCTCATATTAAATGCCACTACTGCCACTTTATTAAATGTATTACGTAAATATAAACCGACTTTATTACGTAATGCCCTGGCATTTAATTAAAGGAAATACGGTAACTGCAATGTGTTTTAGCTTAGTTAATATCATTTTGTTAGTTATATCATTTGCTTAGTTAATATCATTAGTTAATATCACTTTTAAAAATTTATTGAATTATTCAATTGAAACTATAACTTTGTTCATATTTGATGACCTCGACGAGCTGAATCGACAATAACAGGGCATCCCGGAACGAAGTTATAGCTCTTCGGTACGTTGGAGTGTTCCCCTTCTAATTTACCTCAACAAAACATTTTTCTCCTTTTATTTCCTCGTCATTATTAATTTCTTCAAGAGACCTTTGTAAAATAATACGTGAAGGTTCAATACCAGAAGTTGGCTCAAATTCAGTTCCATTAAATAAAAGAATTCCATCATGATGCCAAGAAATCTTTTTTTAATAATAATTATTTTTTCTCTTCCAATAATTAATTTTTACCAAAAAATTATTATTTAATTTATTACAAATTTTAATAGAACATTGAAAATTAGCTGTTAAACCATTAACTAATGAAAGTATTGGTGAAGATGATGAAAATAAGGAAATTGGTATTTCTTCTTTTTTATTTTCTACTAGATTATTTATAGTTAAAATAAAAAATAAAAATATTAATAATTTTGAATATTTTAAATAAAATAACATTTAAATAATCTGGAATTTAAAGCTTATTTAATAACTAAATGGATGTAAAATATTCTAAAATAAAAACTGAAGTAGTTAAAAATAAAATTAAAAAGTTGATCTAGTAACTCGATATAAATGAAAAAATTGCCGTTTAGTTTGCTCGTTTAAGAAAATAAATGTTAAAATTAACGAGGATTTAGTGGCAAATTAAGTACTTCAAGTATTAGGAGGGACTGGCTAATTATTTTTTAAAATTATACTTTGAATATGTAGTGAAGAGGAAAGTTATTAATCGAAAAAATACTAATTAATTTAATTTTTAGTAGATGATCAAATTTTTAAATATTTAAAAATAATATAATAAAATGAATTTTTAAATTAAAAATTTTCAATCTATCAATGTAAACGCACTAAAAATCTTCTTTAATTGGTTTAATCGGTCGCATAAAAAGGCCACCGATCAAATTAATTTTTTTATTTAAATCGATTCGAGAGAGAAAAATTAAATAATTTTTGCAAAAATTGATGGGTTTTTTAAAAACTTCCGTTAGCAAAGGAGAAGGAAGGGTAAATTATAAATATCAAGAAAATATGTATAAAAAATCACTTTAAGAAATTTGTTTAGTTTGGCTAATAAATCCAAAAGAAATTAATATCAATTAGCAAGTTCTCGAATATAACCTAAGTCAAATTTAAAAGAAAATTTCAAATATTTTTTAAAAATAAATTTATTGAAAAAAAATTTAAATAATTATAAATTGTAAATTAAATCAACAAGAAAATATTTTTTAAATCAAATTCCTTAACAATTAAATGTTTAGGAATAACATATTTAAAAGGTTTTGCCCCCAAGTCATTTCCAAAATTAGTTTCTACTGAACAACATTGCAATATAACAAATGGTAGATAATAATCATAATTATTCTTTATCAATTTAGCTGTTCCTTAAAAAATATTTTTTTTTAATTTTTATTTTCTTCCAAACCAATTTGTTTTCCGTTTTGTGTGAAAAACATGTATGGAAATTCTTCAGATTTATTTGTTGGTGGATATACTAATCCACACCCAAAAATACAATTATCCCACCAAACAAGATCGAGAACTTCATCTAATTTACCTTCGCAAGTAATTGAAGCTTTGTTTGAATATAAACAAATATAATTCTTTAAATCATTATTTTTAAATCCAATAAAGATATATTTATCTGAATCTTTCTCGATTTTATATTTAATCTCAAAATAAAATAAAGAATAATTAATTGGATTTTTTGGGTTTTTAAAAGAATTTTCAGCAATAATACGGCTAAATTGGTCTTTACCTAAAATAGATAAAAATTTTACAAAACATTTTTTATTTCTTTATTTACTTTTCTTCCTTCCAAATCCAAACAATCCCCAATTTTCTACACAATTAATATATTTAATATTTTCATCATTAATTAAATTAGCAAATCCATTCCCTTCAATACAAACACCTACAGGATTGTTTGTATTAATACATTTATTTTCACAACATTCACTAGAAATTTCTTTCCATTTATTTTTAATTTCTACATAATTCTTAAAAAGAAAAACCAAAATTTATTAAAATAATTTTTAAAATAACCAAAATATTTATTTCTCCAGAGTTAATTGTCAAGTCAGCAATGTTTTTGTCTGCCTTTTTTTATAAATTTTAAGTTAAGAAATTTAATTTTAATTTCATTTTATTTAATAATTTAATTATTCTTTAATTTTTTAATTAAATTTAAATGACTTAAAAAAATAATTTACATTTTTAATTTTTTCTTCCAAAGAATTTATTTTTTCGTCTTTTTGACTACTATCAAAATTAATTTTTTGAATTTTCTAAAATTAAAAATATTTTTAATTTAATTCAAAAAATAACCTCATTTAATTCTTTTAATTTATTTTCAAGATTAAATGTCTTTTCTTTCTCTTCAATATATTTTAATTGAAGATTGTTAAAATTTGTTTGAAGTTGTAATAAATTATTGCTTTGTTCTTGTAGCTTAAATATTTAATTTTTAAATTTATTCTTTTAAAAAGATTACTTTTAATTCCAAATCACAAGTTGACGATCCTTTTTCAGTCATTTTGTAGAAAAAAATAAAATTTTAAAGTAAAAAAATAAAAATAAGATTTTTTAAAAATATTCTAGACAAATTAAAAATGATAATTTTAAAAATAATAATTTGGCGGTACGCGATTTCGTACGACAATTGCGGATATAAAATTTTAAAAAATTAAGATTTTTTAAAGTTTTCAGTGTCGCATCAGTCTAGAAATAATTCGAAAACCGTCAGAACGGACAGCCGGGACTAAAAACAGGATCTTATTTCAACAAATTTTATTTTTTTTAATTCTTCAGTTGTCGTACACTCTGTTCCAAAATTATAAGGTCACCCCTATTTTTTATCATATCTCATAGAAAAACAATCGAAATTTTTTGAAATTTTTACATAATTTATATCTTTCTATTTAAAATCTGTCTTAAAAAAATCAAATTTGTAGCTACCTTAAAAAATTTTTTATGACCAAAAAAATAAATTTAAGGTGTTCCATAATTATAAGGTCACCTCTGTTTTTAGGTTTCTAATAGTGGTAAAAATCCACAAAAATTTGTCTGAACATATCTATCAATATAGATACGAAATACAAAAGAAATGAAGTTCTGATGTACTCCCATCATCGAGATCTTGAAACCCGAAAATCAACGAAAAACAGGAGGTAGACGTCTTTAAAAAATATTTTCGACCCCTTACAGGTAGGATAAAAATTTTATTTTAGGCTTATCTGAATGCCCTTAAAATTTGCTACAAGTTAGCATTAATTTTATTTTACGAAAAAAATTCTCCTGTAAGAAGTAATGAGTTTAGTTTATAAGTTGAATTTTTATTACTTTTTGGGGGGCGTTTTGTGATTTCTATGGCATGAAAGTTTATCACATTAGGTCTTACAGGAGAATTTTTTTCGTAAAATTAAATTAATGCTATCTTGTAGCAAATTTTAAGGGCATTCAGATAAGCCTAAAATAAAATTTTTATCCTACCTGTAAGGGGTCGAAAATATTTTTTAAAGACGTCTACCTCCTGTTTTCCGTTGATTTTCGGGTTTCAAGATCTCGATGATGGGAGTACATCAGAACTTCATTTCTTTTGTATTTCGTATCTATATTGATAGATATGTTCAGACAAATTTTTGTGGATTTTTACCACTATTAGAAACCTAAAAACAGAGGTGACCTTATAATTATGGAACACCTTAAATTTATTTTTTTGGTCATAAAAAATTTTTTAAGGTAGCTACAAATTTGATTTTTTTAAGACAGATTTTAAATAGAAAGATATAAATTATGTAAAAATTTCAAAAAATTTCGATTGTTTTTCTATGAGATATGATAAAAAATAGGGGTGACCTTATAATTTTGGAACAGAGTGAGTAGTTACCCCCCCCACAAGGTTGCACTGCGTGCAACCTTATGGAGGAGGAAGTCGGCAAATCAAAGGAAACCAAAAGGTAAAGACACATTTCATATTCCTAACCACCCTTTTCTTACCACCCCTTGGTTGCAGGGCAGTAGTTAATAATACCCAAATCGCTCCCAAATCGCTCTTCTACCCAAATCGCTCATACCCTTTTCGCTCACACTACCCAAATCGCTCACTCCCTCATCAATAAAACCTAAGCCTATAGGGGGTATTTTTTGATATTTGCCACAAACACCTTTCTTTGGGAAGTGTTTAGGGGTAATTAATCACGATTAATTAGGGTAATTAATCATTCCATTATTAATTTCCCTTTGGCCTTTGTGAGGAATGAAAAAATAATTTTTGTGACGTTTCATGGTGAGACACATTTTGTTAAAAAATTTGACAATATGAAATTTGACATTTTGAAATATTTTTAGTCTTGAAAGAAAAAGTTAAAAGGGACTTTCTAATTTAAAAATAAATTTAAAAAATTAAATAAAAATAGTTTTAATTAAATAAAAATGATAAAAAATAAAATTTACAAAATTTTGCATAAAATATAAAATGATTTTAAAAAATGACCGGAAGTACAAATGTAAGAGGTTTATTTCAAAATGCCAAATTTAAAAATTGGCGGGCATTTCAAAATTTAAAAAATTTCCAAAAAATTTTAAAATGTCAAAAAATAATAAAAATAAATCATAAAATTTAATAAATAATTATAAATTAAAAAATGAGGGATAAAATTTGACAAAATTCTAGAAAAAATTAAAATGATTTTAAAAAATGAACGGAAGTACAAATGTAAGGGGCGGAGCTAATTATTTCGAAATACCAACATTCAAAATGTCTTAACCATTTAACTCAAAAACCAAAAACACTTTCTACAATTTAAAATTAAAAACTTTAAAATGGCATTTAATAACGATCAAACTGCACCCTCTGCCAATAAGCGCGCAAGATTTCTCATCCGAGATCTTCCACATTTATTCATTGACACACAAACCGGTGCAGGTGCATTAAATTTGCAAAACTATTATCGACAAATAGACTACGATACATCATTTAACCGTAAATTTAAAATAATGGGGACAACAGGCAAGTTTATTATTGAAAAGCTACCCGAGAATCCGGAGGAACTACTGAGAAAAATAATTCACGATTGTATGGATCAAACCATCGAAGCCTCAAGAAGGCAATCAATTGAACCTGACCGATTAGGAGCTATAATATCTTCACAATTATTAGACAACGACATATGGATCCCAATTAGAAAAATTGAAAATGATACTATCGATAACATTCTCAATAGATTCCAGCTTGTTTCTCAATCTAAGATAGAAAAAGGTTCTCTTCTTGGCCAACCATTCACAGTTAAAATCCAGACACTTGGTATTTCATCATTGCCAAAGAATCAATCAATTAGAGGACGCGCACCCCAAGAAAATTCTGCAATAATTACACATATAAATATTGATCGATTAATAAAGATTTCAAACCCAAACAATTTATGTTTATTCTATGCGCTGGAAATAACAAGAAAATATTTTGCTAAAGAATTGGGCGCTAAATGGAACTTTTCAAGATATTTAAAAAATGGCGACAGACAAATGGATGATGTTTTCAACCTCCTAAAATCAGCAAAAATCCCTCATGATCTTCCTGAATATGATGCTGTGGAATATGTACCAGTTGTTGTCGATTTTTGGAATAATAAATACAAGGATGCAGGCTATAAATTTAAAGTATTTATTTTTGGAAGTATCAGTGAGAAACCTATATTCAAATATGGGAACGATAATTTTAACATGCCTATTTCAATTTTTCACAAAAATAACCATTTTGATGGAATAAGATTTGTTGGAGGTATGTTTGGGTTGAAACACAAATACTGCTTTACTTGTGAAAAAAAGTTTCGAAAGTCAAAGGAACATGATTCGAAATGTAAATCTCTCTGCAGATTATGTGGACGCATTGGAAGTGAACGACCTTGTGTGGCAACAGGAGACTTTTACAAGAAATGTGATGAATGTGGGAAAATATATTTGAATGGAGAATGCTTCAACCATCACAAAAAGATTAGCAATTGCCGCCAAACAAAACAGTGTGATAAATGTGGAGTAATCTGGTCAATGAAAAATTACAAGAGAGAGGCTGAAAAGAAACATGTTTGTGGTCAAAAGTGGTGTCAAATTTGTCGTCAGTTTCACAACGTGGATAGAGGATGTTTTATTCGCCCTTTGGAACTGAAAAAAGGAGTTGATTATCGTCTGGTTACTTTCGATTTTGAGGCCACACAAAATGAAGTGATAAAAAATGATAATGAAGAAAGACGGCTACACAACGTAAACTTTATCGCAGCAACAGTAACTTGTACAAAATGCATGGAAAATGAACAATTATGGCGCTCACCTCTAAGGCAAAAAGGAAATAGTTGTACAATCTGCGGGAACAATCGATCCATAACATTTTCACACCGTCCATTCAATCAAACAAAAGTTGATAAGCAAATCGTCACACAAAACCCGCTTAGATTCTTCATACAATGGATTCTTTTTGAACTTAACCCTCAATATACAACAATGGCATTTTCACACAATGGAGGGCGTTATGATATGATTATGGTGTTCAAAGAAATATATATAAATGGCGTTGTTCCCTCAATAATTCGTCGTGGTAATAAACTTTATGAATTGAAAATTCCCCGCAACAATAAATGCAATGAGGTTATATTCCGGGACTCGTATAACCTTTGTCCAGTCGCTCTGGGGAAGCTGATTGGTGCATTTGGGCTACAAGTAACTGAAAAACAATTTTTCCCGCATTTGGCAAACATCTCTGAAAATTATGGTAGAACTCTACAACAACTACCCCCGAAATCTGATTACTTATATGGAGGAATGCCCCCTCAAAAGCAAAACGAATTTGATAAATGGTATGAAGTTGAAAAAAATAATCAATTTTGTTTGGATGAAGCTTTGGCTGAATATTGCACAAACGATGTACAAATACTTACAGAAGCATTGATCGCCTTTAGAAAAAAATTTTCGGAGATCAGCAAAAAGAAAACTACACGACCTGGAGCAGTAGTTGAAGGAATCGATATTTTGAAGGATGCAATGACAATTGCATCGGCATGCATGAAACATTTCCGACTCAATCATCTGCAGCCTGAACATTTGGCAATTGTTCCCGAAAAGGGATATGAAAATATTGATAATCAAAGTGAGCTTGCCCTGAAATATTTACAATGGTATGAAGAAACAAAAGGAGTGGAAATACAAAGTGCACATTCGGAAAGTGGCGAACATGTAGTGGATGGAAAATATAAAGTAGATGGATATATAGCGGCAGAAGATAGGGCAATTGAAGTAAATGGCTGTGTTTGGCATGCATGCCAAAAATGCTTTGGAGATGATTTGAACAAAATATTGCCCAATGGAAAAACTGTGGGAGAGACACGTGAAGATGATGGGAAAAGGATGGAAATAATTAAAAAATATATAAAGAATGTTGATATTATATGGGAATGTGAAATTCATCAGATGCTTCGTCGCAATCAGAAAATGAGGAAAGCTTTTGCAAATTACCACAACAAAGGACCAATCAATATTAGAGACTGC